TGTTTATATTTGGTACCTTTTTTATTTCGTTGAACTTGCAATTGAATTGCAATGCCAAATCAAAAGTCTAATTTTGTGACACATATGTAATTTTGATCTGTGTTTAATAAGTCAGTGTAATTCTCGGGTTTTTTATTGTGATTCGTTAAAGAAGGTAATTTGCTCTAAGTTTTTGTGTGAGTGTCAAATTTGTGAGCTTTAATGCCTGGTATAGTTTTGGGTCTTTTTTCAATGAAACGTCCCTAACTCAAGCAAATCGACGTCAACTTCAAATACTTTTTGCAATACATACATAGTAATTGGTGGAAAATGTAGAAAATGTACTAAAACCAACATACTTACACACACACATATATGTCTACTCGCAATTTAAATAGTTAGTAAGGTTTGGCGAACAATGCACCCATAAGGTGAGCATTACGGCGTAGATAATGAAATCCAACAAAGAAATTGCTCAAAAAAGCGTGACGCTTGGCGCTGCTGATGAACTCTGCGCCATAAATTGCCAAGAGCCTACATATACATATAGTATATGTAGATATATATATATATATATGCATATCTGTTGGCCATAAGGTCCATCTAATTGCAAACCTTTGCGGTATCTAGATATCTAGACACAAAAATTCTTATGGTAATTCATTTTGGCCTGAATGTGTTTTATTGCCATAATTGCCTGTTGAATGAAATTTTTCGGTATTTCCATCTGGTTGTAATTTAGCAATTTTCTTTCTTTTCGGGTGCTAAGCGACTTTCATTTATTTCGGTCAGCTGAGTTCAAATGGCGCGTGTTATGTCGGTCAGTGGTGGTGCCGGTGTTGTCGGTGGTGCCAATGCAGCCCACGTCTATCCACTTAGTCTACAATACACTCATTCCTCATCCATTGGAGGCGGCACTCGCTACCAGCAAAAGCGGAAAATTATAGGAGTCGGAGTTGGAGTTGCTCATTGACACCATCAGATTGCTGCTAACTGTTCTCTTATTGTGTTGGCTCTTTGTGCCGTTGTCGGTGGCCAAGTTGCTGTTAGATACGATCATCATTCATCAGCTTCTGCTTGTGAAGTGTGTATCGTTTATCACACTGTTCAGGGAAAGTTCTGCACCCGCACGAGTTAATTATCATATTTCTCAAAATATTTGAAAATTGTTGTGGAACTCGGATTAGGTTAATAGTTTTTTTGGCCAATATAATCAACTTGAATTTAAACATGTTCTGTTTGGAATAATATTTGATTCGAAATTGTAACCATAGAAATGAGTCAAAAATCAATCACCAGTTTTGATTAAGATTTCGGTTTTTTTGTTGTATCATGAATCTTGCATCAATGCATTCTTTGGTTGTTTGTTCGGATGTCAAGTAAATCTATAGAAATGTTCTTAAACTGCATTGCCAATCCACATGCGATACACGCATTCTAAAAGCAGGATTTTGGCTTAGCTAATTAATTGTGACCGTTATATATGTTATACATATGGCAGATGTGATTGTGTTGCGATTGTACCTGCTTTATTAGCACATTCTTATAAGTAGCTTGATAGAAATACAGTTAATTTGCAGTAAAGTGGTGATTGGCAATACCTCGACTTGTCTGCAAAACTCGTATAGAGTGTGTGTCGATATGCGTTCTGACTGCTACCGGCGAGAAGTTATGGCTGTGACCTACCTTTAGAACTGGAAGCTAGCGAGCGGCCAAACACAAGTTGCACTTGCAACAGCTGCCACAAACGGCGCATCGATGCTCCAGTTTGAAAACCATAGACCTGTCACGCAGCCACAGCAGCAGCCCCAGCATTCACAGTGTGTTGAGGAGAAAATCGGAAAATAATTGCATTAAAAGTCGAGATCCCTCCTTGAAAGAAGCGCGAACAGCAAATGCGGCCAACAAACAGTCTAAAGGCGGTATGCGGCATGCGGCGTGCAGCACACAGCAGGAGGCAGCAAGTGGCAAGTGGCAAGTGGCTAGCTGAACTCGTTCAGCAGGAAAATGGTTTGTCTATCTTAATACACGTACAATTGGATTGAGGAACAGTAGCTTAAGAAATACCGCTAATTGAATGATTGTGTTTGTGTATTGCAGTTGTTTCTGCTATCAAATATGGACAAAGTACAGTTAAAATGTGCTCACATCAATTTTGTTCTTGTATCTAGTGACAATGCCTAATTAATGTAGACTCAAGCCATGTCATGATAATGCCTAATTAATTCTGACTTAGGTAGACATTTAATGAGTAGCCATTATTATTTTCATCATTATTACGATTATTACATGGACACAAATTATTGTGATTAATTTTAATTGTGGGTCAAATTCAATAAATAAATCTGTGACATTTGCCACCTATGATGAACAGATCATTGAATTAATTAATATAATTTTCACCTAAACAAAAGCAACGACACTCTTTAAAAATTCAGCTCGAGTTAATATATTGAATTTGAATTCAAATTTACCCTAATCACATCAATAATAATAATAAGCCAACAAGCCGATTGATGAATATTAATTATGATAGCTTATCTTTGGCCTGAGTTGAAATTAATAAAATTCAAATTGACTCTTTGTTAATTTTTACCAAATAACATTTAACAAACCAAATCGAAATGAACTCACCTAATTTGCATTCTTATATCACATCCCAATATCCATTTTACGAATATGCATTCGGTAGATCCAATAGCATCCAAAATGTCTCATATCGTATAAGCAAAAACAATGATGAGCCAAAGGGTAGTTGCCTTTGTGAGAATAATTGACTTCACTTGTAGTTCTTGGCGATTAACACACGCTCCCAAACACACTCGGGGGCAGTTAGCATTTTCCAAAGCGAAACAACTGCAACCGATTCAGCGACCGAAGCGCGTGAGGCCAATAACGAGACTAACTGCTCGAGAGCAATTTAACAGCGTCCAGAGCGTCCATCGAGGCGACAAAGCGTCGTCAGTCGGCCAAACGGCCAGCGAGTTTTCCATCCCAGCTCAGCTGAAGACATTGGTTGTGGCATAGTCTTCGGGTGATGTGCACTTACTCGTAATCTCATTGGACTGGAGGCAACTCTGTCGCGGTGTTGACAGCTGGCGGGGATTAGCTAAAATTCGTGGCTCATGCCCATAATACAGACAGTAATAACAACAATTTGTAGTTCTTATGTCAATGCTATAATTGAATTAACTTACTGCAGGCATAGCTTTAAAATCTGAACTTAAGTTCGCATGATCTTTAATTAAGTATACGCAATTTGAGTAAGCCATTTCGATGTTACACACATAAGAACGATTAACTCAAAATGATCACAAAAAGATTCATTTGGTAACCAATCCCACTGGCGACTTTTTCTTGCCTAACAGTGTCTCTGTAAATAAGTATTTTGGTTTAATTAGAGTAGGTCAGCGTAGCCAGATTCTGACTATTCCTGTCTACCTTGACCAACGATCCCAATTTGAAAATTTCCTGTTGCCGAATAGTGGAAAAACTCGCGTGGGTACTGCCCCAATTGGCGTGTGCTCATTTGGAGGAACACTAAGGCGGGAGCGGTGCGAGAATAGAATTGACCAATATTTGAGTGAACCGTTAGACAGAGGCGCTTGCAGCTCAAGGTGGCCAGCCTGGTCATATTCATTTATGTCTCCTGCAGAAATACCCAGTCGACAGAGTTGGCCACCTGAATGGGAAACAGGTTCGCTACGCGCCTCCATCTCGAAATGGGTCAATCTTTAAGAATGCTGCCTGTCAGAATCTTTGGCAACTACAGTTTCAAGCCGGTGATGGTCTTCGCTGCAGACCCACAAAAGATAGGCGGGCTCCTGTTCAGCTTCTCTGATATTTTTTTTTGCCTCAGTTGTGCTAGAGGTAACTGTGTCAGTTGATCGAGGTTTGTTTTGTAGGATTAGTTGCCCGACCAAAGAATCTTGTCAGGTTTTTCTTAATTGGGTCACTGAGCAATATTTACGGCAATCGACATGAGCTGAGTAGCATAATTAATGCTAAGAGCTTGCTAAATTCAAATCGGTTTAATGAACGCCTGATAGCAAATAGAAAAATATAAGCTTAAGTCTGCATTTGTTTGTCTTAATTTCCAAATCTTCGAAAGCATTGAGTGCATACTCGGGACTTGGAATTAATCAGAATTAAAATGTGTGGTTTAACTAATGATATCAAGCAAACACCCGTTTGCAAATCCAATTGAAGTTAACAATGAATTTAGTAACAAATAATCGAAACAATTTATTTTTCCATGATGTGAGAGAAAAAAATGGAACAAATATATCAAAAATCGTTCCTAACTTTGGAGTTCAAGGACCATCAATGGACAGATTGAAACAGAGATCTTTCATTGCCTGACAGTTGAAATAAAGTAAGTAGCGAAACTGCTTCAAATAATTTAAATAAGAGAGCAATTTTTTCATATATTGCATCTTCCTGAAAGTATGCCACATTTCTTGATTTTCGGCAATCTATCCAATGCAGAAACCAAGTTTCTTTCACAGGTGTGTGCAACCTGCCAAGAAACTATGTACTGTGTTTTCCTAAAAGTATATCGTATTTTTTTATTTATTTTGGCACATGTCTTTTCAGCAATCTGCACAGAAAACCATATAAACTGACCGCGAAGGGTCATTTGTAATTTGTTTTAAGTGTTATTTGTGTAAACAATTCCATATTTACTTATTTTACTATAGAAATATCGCTAAGGAATATGCTGTGCTTGCTAAGTTTTTATGACAATACATTGCACAAGCAAAGGCTACTACTATTATTATTTAAGAGTAGTGGGAAATCACCATATGCTTCTCAAAGCACACCAAAAAAATATTTTAAATCAACTATGGCGGTGCCATTGTGAATGGTACTGCAAGCAGTGCATTTACATACTCTATGAACGACAAAGCAGTACGTTTTTCCTATATTAAATCGCAGCCTGTATGTATGCAACACTTTTTTGTCACAAAAGCAGCTGCTTCACTTTGATTGTTTTAGAAAATTCCGAATTTATGTTTTGTTTTGTGGAATGCAAAATATGTTTTATTTACTTCATAATTGGCGGTTGTAACGAGGGCTATATATATGTTATGTCTGCATAAATATGTACTATTTACAAAAGCATATCACACCAAGATCCAGATACATAATTTATTCGCCTTCACCTTCCGAATCGCATGTGGCCGTAGTCATCAAACTGGTCATCTCCGTTCCGTTTGCCAAATCGCATGTGTCCATAGTCATCAAACCGTTTCGGTCGCTCAATTTCGTCGTTCTCCACCAGCATTTCCAATTCGATGGGTATCTTGGACCGTGTAATTGGGAAAAACCTGTGTCCGAAACCGATGGATCTCAGATTGCGCCTGCTGTTGCCGAAATGGACAAGCGATGGCCCTGGCACGTGGCCAGATTCCAGCTCCAACTTGGGCTCTAGCTGCAGCTCCTCCTTCGCTGGCTCCACACTGCCAGCATGGGAAAGAGTCGGCACAACCAGGAAAAAGTACACTGTAAACCCGAGCAGCAAAAAGGCGCTAGAGTAACACATCTTTACAGTTCTCCAACTGTTGAATGAGTACCAATTCAGCACAAAGAGCTTCAGCTTTTATAGCCTGCATTGCTCCTTCTTGGCATCCTTTGACTTGACTTTGATGAAAACAAAATAAAGCGAACATTTGAACATTTTAATATTCCGCGACCAAGCTCAAGAGCAATAAGATTACAATTCACCTAGCGTAGTCATAATGTGACAGTTGATTGACGTGATTGGATCAACAGAATAAATCCCACACAGCTTCGCTGATAATTACATTTAAGCACGCTGCGTTTTGAGCAGTAACAAATGTTGAGCAAATATAATAGTCTTTAGCTGTTGCAGCATTTGGGATTGCGTTCAGTTAAATAAGCATAGCTTTATTAAATCTGATTAAGAATCACTATTTGCTTGTCTTTACATGAGAATATAGATAAGTATTGTATTGTAATATGTTTAGCTATTGTTCGGATTTTGAGATTGAGTGGGGGTTATTTAAAATGCATTTCCTTATACTGTAAAAAATTTTTACACAAAATACAATCTCACTGTTGATATAAATACATTGTCGACCTTTCGGTTCAAGGAAAATGTGTTAATCTATTTGTAAAATTCCAATTAGTATCTTAAATTTTTTCAAGGTCTAAAAAGGTTATTTTTTCTCAACACAAACAATAAAGACAAATATTTCAAGCATATGCATAATTTTAGATACATCTACATAAATCAATTCGATTTGTCTTTCAACTCCAAACCGCATTCTTAAGTACCCTCCAACAAACCGTTTCTTAACAGATCAATTACAATGTTGGTGTTGTTTTTGTTGTTGGAGGCATCGCAAAGACACGAATCGTGGCCCTTTTGTGAGTTCATTGATGACGGCTTTAATTAAATGTGTGCCGTCAAAGGTACTTCACTAATAGCCAAGCTGCATGGCCAGGCAGTTCCAAGTTAAGCAAGTTGCTCGAGACTGGCGTGTCAAGTGTTGACTCCCTCCAATTGACCGCATTGAGCCGCCGTTTTGCTCTGTGTGTCTCTGTCTCTGTCACTGTCTCTGTCTTTGTCTCTGTGGTTGTGTTAAAGAATTCCATTTGCTGACCGGATTGTCCGCATTCCAAAGATTCAATCGAATAGTAGACACACACACACATATGCATACTCAATCGCACACACACACACACATGCACACTCAATCGCACACACACACACACATACACACTCAGAGGTACATAAAAGACCAAATTAACAGCTATAGAGAAAAGTATCTACGAGTTTATCAATAAACAAACCGCAATCCAAAGCCGTTGCCTCAGCCGCAGCCCAATGCAGCGGCTTTGTAGACTTGGACACAACACACACATGCACAACATTCTCTAGTTGTCAATACTCCATACAACCAGTCGCAGTGCTATGATTGCGACCCAGAGAGTCTCAACTCAAAACTACTCTGTGCAAAAACAAAACACACACACACACACACAAAATTGGTGAGCACACAACAAAAGCCTATGGCCAAGACAAGCATTAGAAACAAGACAAAATCCACAAGCAGCAGTAACAACAATTTTGTGGGCCGCAGCCGGCACATTTGAGTCTATGGTTAATGGCCAAGCTGGAGAGCAGTAAGCCGTTTCGGACAACACCACCACCACCACCACTATCAGTGGTGCTGTTGCTGTTACTGTGGTGACGAGGTTGTTTTCTTGAGACCTAAGACTTGCAGGTGTTTCGAGGTCTCTCTTTAGATAGTAATTCAACGGAGTCGTTCTTCGGATCGAGTTTATACGCTTTTTAAATGGCTCAATGGTGTCGCCACCACATATGTCACAGAAATAAGGAAATTCATTCACTAAAATGTTAAGTACAAAATATGAACTCGGTTTTAGTTATACTCTGGTAGGCAAGTATTTGTATACATATTTATTTAATTTTGTATTTTTCCAAACATTTTTCTCAAAGTTTGCATCACGTTTGCTTCTTTGTTCCAACTTATCGTTTAGCTTATGCATTCAGGTGTCGCAAACGTGAGATACTTTGAAATGATTTATAAAACATAAAAAAACAAGTTTACTTTTGGTTTAACAGCGAGATATGTTTTTTTTTTGCAATAAACAAAATCTAGAGCAGCGTTTATAGCTAAACCACAATTAAATGTAATGTAGTCTAAATGGTAAATTATATTAAATGTATGTTCTCTTTTTTTTAGATATGTTTGTTTATGTTTTTTATTATTTAGTGATAATTATTTGATGTACCGAAAAGAAAATGAGTGCAATTGCATGTACAAAATGATCGATGTTAAATGAAACTAATTTATTATTTTTAAATAATTACAGTTGACAAAAAATATGAATATATTTCAAATTAAAAAAGTAATTAATTCGAATGAGCAATTTCATGTTTCTGGAGTTATTGAAATTCTAAAGTGACACAAAAATTGATAGTTACTACGATTTTAGCTAGATAAGCTAATTATATATTCCATGATATGGTAATTAAGTACGCCAAGGTGTTCTTGCCCCACTCAGAGTGGGCTCATCCACATTGGGGTTGGAGAGGCTGGACCACACCATACCAGACCCACTATATATGTGCATATAAATAAGAAAACTTATGGAGGAACCTGTGTTCAGCAATTTGCCTGCTTGACCAGCTGCCCAAGTCGGCGTTGTGGTATTCCAGTAAAACTGGAAATGGAAAACGTTTTCTTGCCGCATTTTCACATTGCATAAATGTGGAATTTCCATAAACCCAGCAACGACAACGACGGCGACGTCGACTGTGCCGCTGACACACAGCGAGTGCGATCACCAGAGCTCCTTGTCACAAGTCATCATCCACATTCACATCCCCATCCACATCCACATCCACAACTCCAAGTCCACATACCTCTTGCGCCGTGCATAACTCGTCAGCATAAGCGCCGACTTGGAGTGGCTTTTAATTGAAAATCTCTTACGCAATGCGGCAGCAACGGAGCGACCATTGAGAGACATTAATTTTTTTGGTAAGGGAACTGGAACTGCCAATATTGATTTATATGCCACAAGCGGCTGGAAAATATATGTACATTTGTATATATATGCGTTTAACGCCTGCCGGCAATTAGGTAATACGCACGTAAAGGTAAATGGCTATGGGTGCATGTAAGCATGTAAGCATGTAAGTAATAGGCATAAAGCATCTACCTGTAATTACTTATTGTGGCCAGCAACGAGGACAAACCCCGGCGACTGATGCAACTCGCCTTTTTTTTACGACTTTTATGTTGTTGTTGTATGTTGTTATAAACTGCTTAAAAATTAACCTGTTCAACTGAATTGCTGCCCGGTATGTCTATATCTGTATCGGTATCTGTATGGTTGTGCATGTGTATCTGTATCTTTTAATATACGACTCACATGTGCCCCTTTGCGAAGTGGAAGTTAAAGTTGAAGTTGAATTGCGATGATCTTTGCTTTCGGCATTACAAGTAAGTAGCGTCAAGCCAAAAAAAATAAATAATAATAAAAAAAAAAAAAAAAAACTGGAAGTGAAATCGGAATCGCCAGCTTTCAACTTTAAAGCGTCTTGCCGAAATTCTCGACACTCGCTCACTGCGATTTCATCACTCAACATTCAAATATGTTGAATGGCACTTTCGCTTGCTTTTGAATCAGTGTTTTGCATTTGAAAATGTCACAAATCTACCTTTGTACGTTGTACTTGCAGCCTGTCAAAATATGCATGGAATTTACATGTAAATTCATTTATGCATAGCTCGAGACTCGAGTCTACTTTTAGATCTGCATAAGCCCCAACTATTATTCAGTTTAGTTGCTGTTGTGGGAGTTCAAGCCTGTCTGTCACATAGTCTTACCTCGTCCCTTTTTGGTTACCTCCTCGAACCGCTGTGCCAGTCAGTCTTATGCTGATTGACACATGTGTATATATGTACCTATAAATGTATGCAACATGCAACGCATATCTATTACTGCTGTGGTTGTGCCTGCTAATTGACTTTAAGGTGTGCTAAGGCCTACGCCACAAAATATTTATTAGTTGTCGCTAAACTCACATATCACTTTTTTTAAAAATAGATGTTGGCTTATGTTGGCCTCGTGGAACTTATTATAATAATTCAGATAATATCCGTTCAGAAAATTATTTTTCATATTGATTCACTATTTGATGTGCTCTAAAGAAGTCTTCTTGAAATGTTAAGTAAGGATTATGATTTATAAAATTTTAGACAAATGGTTGCTATAAAGTACTTTTGAAATAAACAATAAACAAGATCTTGTAAGCTTTACAGAAATCCTGAAATAATTTCGGAATTTTTGTGGTAGATTTTATTTTTTCCTTCTAATTTCGAAGCTAGCTCTTAAGAAAAATATAAATACACACATTTTATGAACATTTTATTTATATTTATTGTACATATTTATGTCATTACGATTATACACACATTTGTATTTCAGTTACATTTGCGCTTTAAGTTACTAATATGGACAGAATGAAAGATATGTTTATATATGTAGGTAGTTCTATGTAGGTCTACTCATAAGTGCTTGTATTCACTAGCTCTCTAACATTCTATTCATTCCTTCGAAAAATATATATATTTTACATTTGTGCTCGAAATACAACAGTTCTAGGGTCAAATCTATTTTTATTTTTTTTTTAGAATTTACATAACTTGTTAAGCAGTTTTGTCAAGTGTAGCGTATTATATTATTCTACATTATGTATTATAAATCGGTTATATGTTTTGTTTCTTGTCTTTACTTTTATTTTTGACACCCACATCTGGTTACAAATTATTTGATTCTTTTCTTGTTTTGTTTTTAATATATACTTAGAGTATAAACATAATAAGGCACACATATTCATTGTTGTAAATTGATTGTCAACTCGATTTCAATATATCGATATCGATATTGATAACGTTTTCCAATTTCGTTTAACCAATTTTTGTTCAAGTCTGTCTTGGTCGCATTTCAAGTTTTGCAATTGTTGATTCGATTTCATTTCTAAATTGACCAGCATCGCTAAAATGTTGTGTAATTCTATATAAAGTTCAAATCGGCATGAACTATAATTGGATGCCTGCGTTTCTCCTTTCGGAATGCAGCTGTTTATCTGCGTGGTTTGCCGAAACTGCTAGCGGGTCCCAGGGGTCCATATATCGCATGCGGATGCTGCGGATGGCCATGATGCGGATGGGCTGGATGGCCTGGAGGACCTGCTGTCCCATTCGACATGGCCGCCTGTTTGCGCTGCAGTGTCGCCGGACCTGGCGCCATCTGTCGGCGATCGCCATCGTTCAAGTCCAGTCCGGCGACCATTTGAGCAATCTCACGCTCCTTCTTCATGTCCGGCGGATTGAACTGCAGGCTGGCCAGCGAGCCGTGACTGCGACTGCGGTGCTCCTGGCGTATGGAGTAGCTGAAGGCACGCTCATTCAGGTGTCCCTTGCGGCGATAGATGCCAGTGCCACCCGGGGACGGGGACTCTGCACCTGAGGCGCCCGAGTCATCCAAGCCATTGCCCATGGACGCGGCCATTTTGCGGCTGGACATGCTTAGCGGTCGGGGTTCGCCAATCAGCGACTGTGCCATTGAGGGCGGGGGCACGCCACCCATGGCGAGCTGCTGCTGCTGTTGCTGCTGATGGTAGGCGTAGATGGGGGGCACAATGGGCATGCCGACTGGAACGCCACCACTGCCGCCATTCTTCTTGTCCTTCTTCTTCTTCTTGCTTGTGGAACGCGATGGCTGCAGCGTCGCATATTGTTGTGGCATCATCATGGGTATCTGTAGCGGTGGCATGCCAGCCATATGCTGTGCATGATGCAGCTGCATCATGTGATGATGATGTGCCTGCTGATGTGCCTGCTGATGTGGATGCTGTTGGATATGCTGATGGGGTAGCTGATGCGGATGCGCATGATGTGGCGGTGGTCCCTGTGGAAAACCGCGATGACTAATTGTGTGGTATTGGCGTGCAGCATGTGGTCCCGACACCGGACCATAGATGACGCTAGCTGGACCAGGTCCTGGTCCAGCGTGCACTGGTGAACGATGCAACGCCGCCGCCGGATGCATGGGCTTTGGTCTAATCAGTGTGCCCGACAAGCTCTGGCTGCCACTGGACTTTGAAGACTTCTTGTCTCGCTTCGTCTTGCGCTCCTCCTTAACTGGAGGCGGTGGCACATCAATTGGCGTACTTATCTGGCGCGCTCGCAACGGTCTGCCCAGAGTCGAGGTGTTGCCCGAAAACAGTTCGTACGGACTCTCCACGGCACCTATGTTATCCAGCTGATCCTGTGAGCCGCTCCAAACCTTGTGATTCTCATCGCCATTGTACACTGAAGCCTCCCCATCATCCACGGTGACATTCAGATCGGCACTGCTACCGTAAACTGTAGAAAATAAACAAATAAGAAATCTTAGTCTTGGATTTTTTAGAGATTTGAAAATTTGTGCCAATATTAAATTTCAAAAGTGCATAGCCAAACTATATATGCCTATAAGCTTCAAAGAATTTTTAAGCTTCGAATTTAACGATTTCCCACGTCTCAAAAATTTTAATAAATTGGTGCTGTGTTGATCTTTTTTTTTATTTATATGTATTGAACAAAAGGAATGTCATATATGATTATTTATACTCTAGATACGCATATATATTTCTATATGCGACAGGTACACACAGAAACATATAAACTATACATGTATAGCAAGAGCAAGAAAAAAGCATAAAGTTAAGAACCAGTTAAAAAGATATAAGATATCATGCAATCGAGTGAACTGGAATGCAGGTCTGTCTTAAGTTACAGTCGATAGCTAGTTGACCTTCGCGGCCAATGGATGCTGTCCGCTAAACTATTAATGTCCCCCAAAGGCAGTGGTGGGGGAAGTGGACGGCGACAGCGACGGCGACGGGGATGGAGACGGGTAGGTGGTGGGCACAGGTGGGGTGCAATATCCATGGCCGCACTTGTCTCACATTACTGCAGGTGCTATCATTGTGGCTGGCTGTTAGTTAAAGCGCTGATTCACGCCAAGTGAGGAGGGCGCTGGGCAAAGCCAAAAGGCAAAAGGCAAATGGCATTTACATTAACCAAAATGGCTAGAAATTGGCCGAGCGCGTCTAATGCAAAAAAAAAAAAACACTGTCGAAAAATGGGCCAAGACCGTCAAGTGCTGACGTTGGCCGCATTCAAATGAATCGATTGTGAGGCAATTGAATGTGTTCGCTCGATTTGACTTTGACGACTCTTTAACTGTTCCCATCGCACATCGCACACACAACTACTAATGTGTGTGTAAGAGTGTGACTTGGTCAGTTAGGCAATGCAAAAGTTACAAACAGATACAGATACAAATATATAGTAGAGACACAAGCATGTGCGAAGCCGTTACTATTGCCTTTGTCGCCATCGCCATCGCCGTTGCCGTTGCTGTTGGCAATGAAGGTTGGCGCGATTCTGCAGCGCATTTGGGCCATGGCAGCAATGGCAACGGCAACGGTTTTGTAATAAATAACGGTAATTTAATAACTTGAGCGCTGTGGCTACACCTGCAACCTCCCCTCAGTTCCTGCCACACACAAAACTTAACAACAAGACAAGAAACCAGCCCAACCCAGCCCCAGTCGCAGTCGCAGTCTGAGCTCCGTCCGGCAGACGACAACAAAGCGACGAGTCAGTTATATTTTGCATACTCTTACAGTGTGTATTATCATTTTGTTGGGAATTATGTAACGCCTTAGGGCAGACTTATCTGATGCCGTGATATGTAGATATTTTGATTAGAATCTATAGTGGAGACAATCAAGCCAAGACGTTTTGACAAACTAGACTCGTAGTTTTGAAGCAGTTTTGCTGTCGGAAATTATGAGATCGAAATACTATATCATGTCGTTGCCATAAGTCGGTCTTTTTTTAATGTGAATAATTAAATTTGGCTGTGAGAGTATCTAAAATTCGGCCAACCGGAGATAGCTGCTCATTCTTGTTTTTCTTTCATTTTTTTGTTTATGTGTCTTCAGTATTCGTACGTTTTTGTACCTTTGCTTCTTAGCCATGCCATAATTTGGTTTGGTTCCAACGTTTTTTGCTATTCTACTGCTTTGTGGTTTTGTCGCTGCTTAAAGCATAAGAAATCGGCGACTAGCTGTGGAGTCTATTGACCCCCGAGACGCTGGCTAACGTGTGTTCGACTGACTAACGTAGAAAATGAGAGCGAACTTTTTTCTTCTTTTTTTTTGGCAATAGAGCAGCTCACATTTGCCCTCAGCACCCAAAAAGAAAAAAAAAGAAGAAATAATGTATGTAAATTTATGATGTTAAGCGGCAAAGTCTGCAAAAAAAAAAGTACTTTTGTTGTGAGAACCGCTCAGCCGTTTCAAGCGTGGCTTAATTAGCGTGTTTTCACAGAGCCAAATGTCAAATGCATTTTATATACGTATTAATGCCCAAAAGAGCTGGTCGCCCCATTTAGCCAGTTCTCATATAACTTCTGCTGTTTTTTGCCTTATATTTTATATATAGATCTGCATCTTGGCTAAATTTCATTTTTGGTTTCAAGCTCAGCGTCGATATTCGAAAGTGAATTTTAATGGTTTTGTGTTGTAGCTGAAAATATGTATCAATTCTGCGGGCTGCAACTCAAATTTAAATGGGTAAAATATATCAAATACATATACATAAATATATATTCATATAAGCACTTATTTCCGCAATTTAAATTATTTTACTAAGAACCGAAAAATAATTCTTGCTGCGAAATCGAAAATAATTGTTAAATAGCAATTCAAAAAAATAAACAAAATTCCAATTAAATTGAAAAATTACCAATGTAATAATAAAAGGTATAATACTACTACTGATCTACACTATCTTATCCGAGGCGTCACTCGATTTAATCTGGTGAAACTCAGTGCACGATTTCACTTTGAAATGGCGTTTAAGCAATCGATTTGTTGCTTTTACCTCTCTACAAACATAATCTGCGTAAATGCTTTGCGGAAGTCAATCAAATTCCTGAACAATGCTGTACTGGCCGAGCTGGGCCACTTGGCTTTAATTTTAAACGCTTTGGAAAAAATGCAAAAATATATCTCGTAATTACACTTCCAGTTGCAATTTACGCTAATTTTGCTTTGAGCGTGGAAGTTGGATTTATAATTTTTAATTGTTTTCGCATTTCGCTGGCCGCGATAATTACGTGAAATTGCTGCAAGTGGCTAACGAAGGCCTCCTGCTTCTTGCTCCCTGCCATTTACCCCTCTTCTGTGTTGCTTATGTCATAAGAAATGTGCATTTTTCAATTCACTCACGAAAAGTAAAATGAATACTCTCACTTAATGTGGCGAGTCGACTCGGCGCATGCGTGCGTGAAAATTGTATTTCCCCGTTTTGCTGGGCAACAGTGTGCGGCCCACGTTAGTCGCCGATGATTCACTCAGGCGAACAGCTTTGGCTCAAATCGAGGCAGAACTCAAGCCCAAATTCAATGTAGTTTAAGTGCAAAAAAATTGAGAAAAAAAACACAAGCTGTTGGCATTTAAAGAGCGTTTTTTCAATGCAAAATTCCGAGCGGAAAGGGGAGTGCCAGAAGCTGAAAACAGCGCCTTTTGTATTTGCCTCGACTGATGCAAAGAAAAAAAAAACTGAGTCGAAATGTGGCTTGGAATTTATTAGCTGTTTTTTTTTTTGTACATTGTTGGTTTTTGCCATTTCGTTTTCCGCTGGCACGCTTGCCAGCGGATGGTTGCCCCAATGCTCCAAACCACCAACAACTAACCACCATTGACTCCAGCTGCTGCAGCTGCAGAGCTAGAGCTGAACTGGGACGACGCCAACGTATGTCTGTATATTGTAGAATGCCAGACGAATGAGTAGTGGAAGCACCTTCGAGACCATAAATAGCTAGCCATTATATATGTATGCTCAATATTGATATGCATTGGGGTCTGGAGTTGGAGTTAAGTGTGGCTACGGGCACATCCGACGTGAGAGACAAGACAATAAAGATTAAAAAGTTATTTTTGCAAGATTTCACAGAGAAATCTGTCACCAGACGTGCATAAAACCTAAAACATAAACATATCATAAATAAAGAAGAATATAGAGAAAAGTGCACAGTCATAATAATACAAATAATAATAATAATAATAAAAAAGCAATATAAAAATAATAATAAAAAATAAAAATAAAAAAATATATTAAGTGCGATTTCTGTTATTAATTAAATGCCGTTAAAAATGGCAATAGTAGTTTTATTTCAATTTGAATAATTGATGTAAGTATTCATTCATTATAGACACTCATTCAAATAATAACTCTATTAAGCAAAATTACTATCAATTCCAAAAATAACAGCATTTAAAGATCAAGTAATGAAGAGTTTGTGTGTGTGTGTGTGTTTGTGTGTGTGAGAGACAGAGAGAGAGAGAGAGAGAGAGAGAGAGAGAGAGAGAGAGAGAGAGAGAACGAGAGAGAGAGAGGGAGGGAATGTGGGTCAAAAGCTGGAATTCGCTTAAGTTTAATGGAATCATTTTCCGTGCCACAAAAACTTGCTTGCAATCATTGAAAATAATCAAAATCAAATTTCCGTAATCGAGCCATGCTCAAATGCAATTTAACATGGCAACAGCAAACAACAGCAACAACAAATGTTGCAAGTCAACAAGAAATTTTTGCCGATTGACTGCAAAATGCAACATGCAATGGAGCCCAAGTCATTCAACTGCAACTGGATTTCGGTTAATGTGCCTGCCAGTCTCTGCTATATCTGCATAGCTTCTCTCTCGCTCTCGCTCTTTCTTTTTCCGCTCGCTTCATCTCGCTCTCTGTTTTCAATCTATGTAGCCATCTATATACTATTTCACGCTCAGTCTCTTGCCAGCTTCTTTGCATAATAATAATGCAACCAGCCAGCGATGCAACAACAACAACAACATTAACAACAAAACGTTGCCATCGCGGATGCAAACGATGCTCGTAATAGCAGTGCAAATGTTGAACCGCTCCTCAACGGAAGTTGAAGCCGGTTGCTACTATTACTTCTTCTTCTTCTTCTGCTACTGCCGCCACTGCTGCTCCCACCTCCGTTCAATATTTCAGTCATGGTCAAGTGGTCATCCTGTTGCTGCATATTTGCATAATGATCATCGACATCTTTCCCCAAATATATTTACATTATTTTGTTACTTTTTAGCAATTGCCTTCAATATTCCAATTTATTTCCTAATAGAATTTTCATCAGTAACTTATATGATGTCTACCCAAAACACAAGATTTTTGAGCTTTTTGCCCGCTATGTAGGTCAAATTGTGTCTTTCAGTTGAAAACTGGAATCTGGTCTTGAACAATGTTCAACGTGTTTCGGTTTCTTTTTGTATTTACTTTTTTCGGTTGATTTTGCCATTTAAATGGAATCACAAATCCGTCGAAAAACGCATCTGCAAATGGCTTGGATCAACAGACCTGAGGCGCGGCCAACGAATATGCTCAAGTGTAGAGACTGGAATCTGTTGGCCATGTTGTTTATCAATGGACCCACAATGTACGCTAACAAACTTGGCCAACAAACGAGCCATTGGTAGTTGAGGTCGTGGTAAAGAGATAAGCTGTTAAATAAATGTTTTTCATTTAGCACACTTTTAAGCCATTAAAGCGCAATTGAAATTAGTTTATTTAATTAAAATTAAAATTTGAGAGAGTGAGAATGTGTGAGAGACAGAAAAGCAATTACCTAGCTGACAGAGAACGTATAAGATTTCTCATCTTGATGCCGGCACAACACACGGCGACATCAACCTCAATTCAAAGTGTGGCAAATCGAGAAAAGAAACAATGCGCGGCAGCAACAATAATCTCGAAACCGTCTACAAGCAAATTAACAATGTTAATTAATAGAAAATCTACGACTTGGCCACACAAAACAAACACACACACACAGACACACACACACATATATATATATATATATATATGCACGTGTGTGTGATTTTATCACATATCTGAATAAAGTTTCACTTGCTCACACGCTCAAATTTTAAGAATTCCTCCCCGTTCGCCACTTAGTCACGGGTTGCGCTCTGGGTCTGGGTCTACTTCCACTCAATTTCACACTTCCCAGCCAACTCTATACATATATATATATATATATATATATATATACATATGTGTGTATGTGTATGTAACTTCCCACCACCACTCTCAAAGACAACAGTGAAACAAGAAAGTGGCGAACTGGGCAATAACCAAGCCGAGCCAACTCAAGACCAAGAGCAAGACCAAAAACCTGGCAAATGGAAAACAGTCATAACAACATAAACCCTAACCCAAAATTTTCTCACGCGTTCATCTCAATTTATGTACTCACTGGGCGCACACACATATGTACTTATGTATGTATGTACATATATATATATATACATATATATATTTATGTGCACATGTGTGCCCTCGACTGGCACTTAAAATGAAGCTGCAGCTGTAGCTGAAGCCGAAGCTTTTGCGTTGGCGGCGCCGACGTCCGCTAATCTGCACGCGACCACAGTTCCTGTCGAGTCACAATCGTACAGTTATTAAGTTATTCAACCCGTACATGTGTGTGTATGCGTATGTGTGTGTGTGTGAAATCTGGGTATACACAAAGCAACTGCACTTGAGAATGACAACTACTGTCCAGCGGAGATTGACAGGGTGCCGCTGTGTCAAAGTATGGGCTGTGTGAATCCAGCAAAATGGATGGCAACATAATTAATTATGCAAATGCATTCAGATACACTCAGAAAAAATTCCAACATACAATTAGAGTTTAGAAAATCACTAAAAGACGACAAATAGTGCTCTCATTTTCAAAAGTTTGAATATTTCGGAACAATAGTAATATAGCTAAGCTGAAAATTTCTAAGAAATAAAAAGGTTAAGCATTTCCAAAATGTATGTAAAAAAATAAATTTTAATACATGTATTTTGAAAATGTTGAAATTGTCTATGACAAGAATGAAACATTCATATGAAAAATATATGTTGTAGTAGTCCGAAAATGATGATTTTTTAGGAGCATATTAATACTCATATTGAAAAGATTTGGTTCGGAGATCTGGTAAATCAAGCGAGTATTACATATTTCAGTGTGGATCTCTACAACCTTTGATCAAAATTTGAGAAACATATTCATCCGTGTAAAAGGTGAATTCGGTTCGGATATCTTGAAAGACTAAAATGTAATTCATTTTTCAACCAATGGCTCATATGGCATCTATCAGATATAGTGATTTGATCCGGCAGGTTCCGACATATACACCTCTTGCAGCAAAACTTATATTTATGGCAAGTTTAATGAAGATAGCTTCAAAACTGACAGACGGGCATGGCTATATCGACTCGGCTAGTGTTGCTGATCAAGAATATATACACTTCGGGCGAAGACGTCTCCTTACACCTCATTACACATGTAAAAAGAAAATTATAATAAACTCTACCAGTCTTTCCGGTTTCTAGCTCGTCTTTTCAAATTAAATGTGAATTTTTTCTCTCAGTGGGACGAATGGGACGAACTTTATTAATTAGCCGGAGAGTACGGTTTGCAAGTCACTTGATTTGCATACTTAGTTGCGATGATAAGGCAAAGAAGGTACTTTTGTAGCAGCAGGAGTGCAACCAGTAAGTAATTTTCTTTCATGCATTAACTCATGACAATTACAAACAAATTGGTATCTGGTTTGCTTAGACACCACTTTCTTTCAGAAAAATTATAGTACAAGTAGCAAAGTCTTTGAGTTGCATTTCAACTTATTAAGCATGCAGACATTTGTGGCCAGGGAGGAGTTGGCAGGTCGAAAGCGAAATGCGGCTAATTTGAATGGCATGACTACAGATCGTTTTTCGAAATGAAGTTAACTCAACGTGGCTGCTGCTTTTGTTGCTGCTGCTGCTGCTTTCCTCAACTCTAGCAATTTACATGCTAATTATCATAAGTTTGCTGTATAGCCAAAGCAGCGACAACTTCAACTTCAAAAGCAGACATTGACCAGGCCAACAACGAGGCCATTAAGCGGCGATTTTTGTGTGTGGCTCTGTCGACGAAATTTAAATAAGTGGAAAGTATTTAAAACTCTGCGAGTCAGCGAGCAGTGTTTCTCTGTTACCAGACACCACCAGCCAAGTAATCGGCAAACGGCTTTGACGTTCCGTTCGTGTTTGCCACTTGCCGGGCCCTCCATCCGTCATCAGACTCGGCTGCTCAGCCGTCATGCGAGGAACGTGCATAAATATTGTCAATAACAACAATAAAATACCTGTACTGCACCCAAATGCTTTCGTCGGCTCTGACAACATTTTCTATTTTTCAACAATGCTTGAGGCGTGTTGAAATGCTTTTTTCTTTGCACATATTGTTAGCTAGCAAGTATAAGCGTACAGCTCTATATATAGATATGTATATATATATATATATATATATATATATATATATATGTGTGTGTGTGCTTTTGTGTGTATTTCAAGGTGAGGCTCATCTTTTGTAGCTACCTAAATGATAAACAATAAACCTTCAACTCTGCTGCTGTTTGTATAATAGCTTAATTCTTATATTGAAATTGCGCATTTAAGTAACTAAATAAAAAGTCCAGCAACAAAAAAAAGTGATTGTCAAGTTATAGATGATAAAAATCATTAGCTGACTTTGCTTAAATTGCTTTTATGGCTGGTAATATAATCTTAATTAAGATCTCTTCAACATAATGCACAATTAGGCTTTGATAACTAAAAACTATTGCAAATAACTCCATTTGTTAAATATAAAATTTGTGCTTGAAATTCTGTCAATAAATCCTTAAATAGATAATCTTTTTTTTCGAGCAATAGCTTAAGTGATTTTATTCGCTCGTTGCCAATATGTAGACATCAGCACTAATTTCTCCATCATAAAGCTTGACAGATCATTACGTCAAAGTGATGAGACCCTTAGCAAGAGTATACAAAGTTGCTCAGAAAAAAAGTTCAGTTTGCTGGGCTGGGCTGAGATCATTGCTAAGATGGTAGGCAAAAGCAGTTTGCGTTTTGACTAGAAATGTTTCCAGCCGTGATGGAACGCTTCGTGACGGTCACATGCAGCTAATTAGACGACATGCGAACTATATTTAGACAACTGTATCTGCATCTATCTCTGTGAGTTCATCAGTACTGCTGATGCTGACTGTTCTCAGGGAATCAGAACGAAAGACTTAGGCAACGAACTTGAAAGTGTTGGTACTCACAATTTTTGACTGATGTGTAACCCTCGGCGTTGCTGCCAGTACTGCCACCGTTCATGCCATTGAGCACATGTCCATTCGATGTGCGTCCCAAGCTGTTTAGCGTTGTGGTACTGCCTGCTCGCGATCTCCAGCCGCCCTGTCCGGCCAGATGACGATGATGATGACCGTTACCATGCCCGTTGGCCAGACCAACGCTGGTGAGGTCGCCATTCGATTTGCTGCCGGCGCCGGCGCTCTTCAAGGTGCCATAGACGCTGCTGCCGCCACCGCCGCCTGTGCTGCCCGTCTCCAATTGCCTGGCATAGGAGTTATCGGCATAGGCATGGAAACAGCATCTGACTAGAGCGTTAGCGGCCGCCTCCCGCTTGCAAATGAATACGTGGCACTCGAGCACCTTAATTCCCGTGGTGCGACGCAATATGGCTGCAAAGATGGGCGGGTGCTGGGCACGGGGCATGCGCGCAAATGGCGAATCCAACGGCAGAAACTTTGGCTCCGGATGAGCATTGCCCCGCTCCGGTATCAGCACTTGACGCACTGCGGCACAATAGTGCAGCGATTCGATGGGAAAGAAGCGTGTGATCTGCTTCAGATTCTCATCGACATTCTCGAGCAGTATGCCATTGGACCAAACGCTCAGCCAGCTATCGATGCCCTTGGCACCGACAGCGCCCTCTGACGGATAGAGGCTACGCAACGGCTCCTGTATGCCCTGGAGACCGTCCTTGCTCTGACGCGGCACGGCGCTGCCCAGATAGAGCACACGGCAGCGGCAAATGGGCGTCGAGTCGCCCATTCTCAGTTAAAACAACAACAACAGCAGCAACCACAAGAACTACAAAAGATGGAGAAAAACAAAAGCGTCTTACGTTGAGTGTCGCGTTCTTTACGTAGCGTAACGGCAACGTAGGCGCGAACCGAGACCGAACAATGTGGATTTTCTGGTTTTGCTTTATATGTTAGCCACGTACAAACACACACAGATACATGTGTATATGCCAATGTGTGTAACTGTGTGTGTGTGTGTTTATTTATTGTGAGCTGTATTCGAGTGTGTGGTTCTTAAGCCGTCACGAGAGAATTTTAGTTCGCTTAGGTAAGCGGATATTTCTTACACTGCCAGTCACTGCATTCACTAACAATACACAGATACACATGCATCATCGCACACACACATACTAACTGGCAACACACAACCACAGGCAAACAGCAAAAAAACACGCGCTTCACACACAACTTTTTTTGCTATATTTTTCTTCTTTTTTTTTAAATTTATTTTTCGTGTTTTGTTTCACTCTTTTTGTATATGAATTGTAAATTCGTTTTTCATAGAATCGTTACGTTTCCGCCTTGGAGATTATTCTCGTTTTGGGAAAAAACAAATATGGCGTCATGGGATTCTCTGAGTTCTGTGGTTTTCCGTTTTGAACATTCCGTTGCGATAATATATATATATATATAAACACAAATATTGTTGACACGATCAACAACGTAATTGTGTTTGTTGATTAAAAGTCGCTTTTTTGGGCCTGGCTTTTGATAAAGCTCTGCCTCTGCTCAAATTATTTCTGAGTATTATGAATATTCGGTCCGCTCGAGACTTGCGATCGCGACGGCGTCTCACGGTGAAATGAATTACAATAACGTGAGCGGTACGGCGCCTACGTGGTATTTTCAAGACATACATTTATACATAGAGTCTTCGTTGCGAGAGGTCTTCTCAAGCCGCTCAGCTGCGCTCAGTCAGGTAGACAAATGAGCGAAATACTGAGAGAGAGAGAGAGAGAGAGAGAGCGCCCAGACAAGTACCTGTGTTGCCCACCAGCTGCTAGAAGGTGCTGCTGCACAGGTAGGCAGAGGTAGAGGTAGGCAGCCGGTTGTGGATTGCATTGTGAGCCCAAGAGATTATAGTAGGTCTGCGGCTCTCCCAGCAAAATAAATTCAATAGAGAACAATATCTTTGTAGCTCTGTGTTAGATTACCGGTTTATCAGCTTTGCAACGGCGATTGCGACGATTTTTTTGTTTGTCTCGCATAGCGAACTCAATCAGCCGGCTGAGTTCTTTTTGCTGATTATGATTGTACATACATACATATAAATTAATAGGTGTTGGTCAACATTCTTTGAGGAGAACCTGATACAACGTTCATCTTTTGTAATTTAAATGACGGCACTCAAAGGTCTAATAATCTTAGGAGTGGGCCTAATCTGTTTTAAGACGTCTGAATAAATATTGTGTGGTGAAAGTGATTTTAATAGATACATTGTACACGGTGGTGTTGTTCATAATACAATTGAAATTGCTAAGCAGAAAACAATAAAATAGTATACATTTTGGCTTTAACAATAACTCAGTATAAGAAAGAAAGTCAAATTTGAGGGTATTATTATGGCCAACTTCACTAACGCAAATTCCACTTTGCCACAGCTTTTGTCATTTTGTTTTTGTCTCTGCTAAAAGTCGCCGACGATCGCTAAGGGGTTCGTGTCTTCGATACTACCCTGCAATTTTATGAGAAAAGTTTAATAATTATTTGCAAGACAAAAATTACTGTATTTCAAGCAGTTCATATTACCTTAAAATATCATATTTCTACTTCAAATTGCAAAGAAAACGGGAACAAATCTGGCCTATGTGCGTCGATCTTACGGTCGACAGCCGTCTTACCTAATCTAACCTTCATAAGTTCAGTGCCATATAACGGGATTGTCACGATCTCTTTATTATGCCATAACTCTTTATGGGCCTTGTAAAATCCATATTGATTTATCTGAAATGATGTATCTAAACTATTTTAATGTTAGTAACATCTTTAAGTCTTCAGTCATTCCTGGTAAATTACGCAACATAATTGATGATCAAATGTATATAAATTATATATATATATATATATTATTTAGGGTATACAACAATTGAGGTTTTCTGTTCCTAAATGCCGAGTGGCGAACTTACCTAGCACCAAATAGAAAATGAGGTGTGAAAAACAGGGGCTTTTCTGGAATTTAATATCAGATCTTAATCAATCACTAAAGCCTGTAAATGCACATCTAGTTTAACAGGTGTAATGACGAATCCACTGGAGCGGTTTATATTGTTGGGGGTAAAAACAAGACTACGATAGCTGCTTGTTTTTACTTTGACAGCGCACGTGCTGCAATGACGCTAGCCTTAAGTATGTAAAAAATAATAATAATAAATATAAATTATAATTTATGCATATTCATAAGCCGCGCACCCGAACTTGAGCTACAAAAGAGCAGCACACGACGACTTGCGCCTCATTCACAGTTCAGCTCGCGATCCGAGCTGAGAGCTAAAGATCAAAAACCGATCTGTATATCAAAGACCGATTTTATTTGCGGAGATACTTCTACGTCTATATTAGAGACTTGGACAGGATGCAGCTATTTATAAGCATTTTAGGCCTATTGTTATTGGGCATTCCGTCGCTGGTTTTGACTCGTAAGCAGTTCGATTTTAAAGCTCTGTATTAACTGAGTCACAGACGAGTATTCCCATATCGAAAAAATAATACATATACTTTTCAAATTCTTGTGAAATAGCATCTGTGCGTATTCGAACAGTTCGAACTAGTTAAGCGAGTTAATCCTTGATCAATAAAACTAGCAAGTCGATAAGCTAAACAAATGCTTCATCTTTTCAATTTTAGAGACAGATAACAGTTGTTATACTCCCACTGGAGGGAACGGATTTTGTGTGCCGTCACAGCAATGCAAATTTGTGAAAGATCTGCAGTCCACATATGGACGCAATGTGCCTCGTACTATAGTGAATCAGTTAAGACAGATGGCCTGCATTGGTTCACAGCGATCGGTAATTATTGATAACAAATTAATAAAGCCTGATAAATGCTAAAAAAAATAAAAACATTATCTCCATTACAGATATTCTATTTGTGCTGTCCAAGCAATGCAGTGATCAAGGCCCAGAGCGATGGCAATGCCAAAAGGGAAACACAAAACAAATCCACGGTGGACACACGTCAATCATCTGCAGATCTTAAGCGCATCGATCCAAGTGGCATGAAGCTACTCAACTCGGTCACCGAATGCGGCAAGAAAACAAATACCAAATTATCCGGTGGAGATGAAACAAGAATTGGCGAATTCCCTTGGCTGGTGCTGCTGAAGTATGAGACATCCGGAAGACCTTTCCTGTGTGGGGGTAGCTTGATTACCGATCGATTCGTCTTGACTGCCGCTCACTGTGTGAACCAAGCTCGTAAGCTGTAAGTCCTGACTTGTTAATTATCCAAACACTTTCTTTACTCATTTCAAACTTCCTAATATGCAGAATTGGCGTGCGCATGGGAGATCACGACCTGAACAAAGAAGAAGATTGTCAAGTTTTAGGCGGACGTCGAAGAGTGTGCCTGCCACCGTACGAGGAGTACGGCATTGAGTCAATACGATCGCATCCAAACTACGAGTCCAATAACAATGACATTGCACTCATCAAAGTAGACCGCCCCGTTAACTTCAAATGGCACATCAAGCCCATTTGCCTGCCCATCGATAAGAACTCTCAGGATATAACCTACGATCAGAGTTTTTACATTTCGGGCTGGGGTCGCACAGAACAAATAACAGCATCTTCTGTGCTATTGAAGGCACTCGTCACGCGAGCGGATCTGGATGTTTGCCGCAACTTCTACGTTAATGGGACAGTTAGCGAGAATCATATCTGCGCTGTAGGAGAAAGCGATAAGCAGACCTGCGCCGGCGACTCTGGTGGACCACTTTTCTTTCGCAATCCCTTCAAGGAAACCGTTCGCTATGTGCAGTACGGAATAGTGTCACATGGAGGATCGCTTTGCGGCGCACGAGAAAATCAGCCCGGTGTATTTGCCTCTGTACTGGAACAGTTGCCATGGATTACGCAAAATCTTTATTAATGTCCCCCGAAACTGACTTTTGTACTTATATATTATACTCTATAATATTTATTCTTTAGTTTAGCTCCCAATGCCATTGTAATAATCATATTTTTGGTTTTAGTTCGTAGTCTTTATAAAAATATATTTTATTTGCAGTACGAAATTAACTATTCAACGTTTGTAATTTATTGTTTGGAACTGGCAAAAAAAAATGAACAAGGAAGGAACAAAATGTTATTTGTCATTTCTTCAGTGGATGTTCTGAGATTGTTTAAAATTGTTTATCTGGTTACCTTTGGCTACGCCTGTAACAGATTAAGTAGGTTAAAACGGTTGTAAGCCCGAAGGTTGATACACATAGGCCATGTTTGGCCCGTTGTGTATCTAATGTGGATTCCTCCTACACTCGTGCATTAAAAACACAAAAGTCAAAGATTTGACCAGCCAGTTGCTTTTATAAATTTCGCTATCCTGGCAGGTCTCATATTCGCTAGCTCTGATAAGATAGTCAGGCAATGGCTTCCCAAGGATTGCCGACCATTTCCTTGTAAGTGCTGGGCAGAAGCAGAAGAAGTGTTCCGGAGATGTTTGGTATGCTGTGCGACCGCAGTTTGCATTTCTCTATTTATCATTTGACCTGCGTCTACTTTCTTCCTTGATATTGAGCTTGCAGGTAGCTAAAGGCATACTTATACCTACCTTATACGTGAGGAGGGAAATTCCTTCCTAGCTAGCTCATCAGCCTGACAGTTGTCAATATATGGCTGTCAATATATATGTTGACATTGCCGGGACTGACTTTGAGCCTTTTTAGGGAATTTAGTGATTCTTTTATAGCAAGTACTTCAGCCTGAAAAACACTGCAGTGTGTCGGAAGACTGAAGGACATCTGTATATTGAGTTGCTCAGAGTAGAAACTTCCGCCTACGCGGTTGTCTAGCTTTTATACACGACTGCCGGTGGTCCGGGAGTACCATGAGTCCATTCCTCCCTTAGGGCGAAGTATGTACTGAAGGGTGTTTCTATTTGTACTACTGGCACGCAGTAGACTGTTTTCGAAGGGATGTTTGAATTTCCTTCTAAGATAGATGCATGTCGGTTTTCTGAGCAATCCACGATAAGGACTCCCTCAGTCTTACGGCCGTGAGTATTGCATTTTCTGTTCCTTGTCTTTCCTCACATGGAAAGTTCAGGATGGCGTCTTGTGCATCACTGGGTGATGTTCATGTAAATTGACTTAAAAAAAAGAAATTAAAGATCCATAAAAAAGTTTTAATATAAAATCTCAAGAAAAATGTATTGCAATCATACAAAAAGTATATTCATTTATCTTAAGGACGTATAATTGGAAGTCTCTAGCTCTTATAGTCTCTCAGATCCGCGTGTTCAATACAAACGGATACACAGACGAGCAGATAGAGGGACTTATATATATATCGGCTGTATCGACTCGGCTGTTGACTCTGATGAAGAATATATACACTTTATATGGTCGGAGATGCTTCCTTCTGCGTATTAAATACATTTGCATAGAACGATTATACACTTATGCATTTTCAATGGGTTCCGGGTATGAAAAGCTCAGAAGTATACACATTTTATGACTACTGCATAACTTATTATAACTCAAAATTATTGTCTTACTACCTATGAAAACAGTTTGAATTAATATAGTCATTACTTAATAGGTTAATGGCTTGTTTATAATAATTGTTTTGTAATTTTCTACGCATTACACAATTGCCAGCAGTTGTGAGTAACATGACTGGAAAGTTAGGGCCCCTATTAATAATAGCACACGAATTTAAAAATGTTGCGGTGAGAATAAAAGTTGTTAATTTCGATTTATTCGGTCGCTTTATCTAAATCGTCATAAGCAGATTTGTATGTAGATGTCAAGAATACAACATAAATAATCTTACCTGCGTCTTATTGTTTATATGTACACTCGAAAAAAATACAGAATTTTGTATTTCAATTTTGTTGTGAAAAAACGGAACACATCGTATTACCATTGCTTAAAGAAAGTATACTGTACTTTCAAATGTTCAAATTCAGGACTTCAAGAAATGTTGAGTAGTATCCAAATTGTTAAATCTAAATCAAAATCATCTGAAAGTTTTTTAATATACAATTAAATCGTTAAACACATATTTGATGTACAAACATTTTCATCATGAGTTTTTTTAGTTGGTTCAATAATTTAATAAAGCAAAAGTATCGTTCGATTTTCAATTAAAGTTAGTCAAAAAACTTTTCTGAGTGTAAACAAAATGAAAAATAAAATAAAGAATACATAGGAGTTGTATCTTCTCATGACACTTTTCGGGGATTTCAAAAAGCAAACAAGCTAATTTCAATTGTACGTGTGATTGACATTTCATTACCTAAGATTGTCCGCTCTTATGGTTTCCCCAGTGATGGGAATTCCATGAACCATAGCGAAAGGAAGTCTCGGCAACCCACGCTGAGCTGCAGCAACGGCGTGTTCAATGAAAAGGGGAACTTATATTAGTAAATAAAGAAATGGTACATTAATCCAAGTAATTAAAAAAAAGTACAGCGAGTGGCGAACTTACCTAGCACCAATTAGAAAATGAGGTGTGAAAAACTGGGGCTTTTCTGGAATTTAATATCAGATCTTAATCAATCAACTAAAACCTGTAAGTGCACAGCTAGTTTAACAGGTGTAATGGCGAGTCCACTGGAGCGGTTTATATTGTTGGGGGTAAAAACAAGACACACGCACGTGCTGCAATGACGCTAACCTTAAACCGGTTCTTGGTCAAAGTTGAGTATGTAAAAAATAATAATAATAATAAATAAACATGATCTGTAATGACTCTGGGTAAATTATAATTTATGCATATTAATAAGCCGCGCACGCGAACTTGAGCTACAAAAGAGCAGCACACGACGACTTGCGCCTCATTCACAGTTCAGCTCGCGATCCGAGCTGAGAGCTAAAGATCAACAACCGATCAGTATATCAAAGACCTGTTTTATTTGCGGAGATACTTCTACGTCTATATTAGAGACTTGGACAGGATGCAGCTATTTATAAGCATTTTAGGCCTATTGTTATTGGGCATTCCGTCGCTGGTTTTGACTCGTAAGCAGTTCGATTTTAAAGCTCTGTATTAACTGAGTCACAGACGAGTATTCACATATCGAAAAAATAATACATATACATTTCAAATTCTTGTGAAATAGCATCTGTGCGTATTCGAACAGTTCGAACCAGTTAAGCGAGTTAACCCTTGATCAATAAAACTAGCAAGTCGATAAGGTAAACAAATGCTTCATCTTTTCAATTTTAGAGACAGATAACAGTTGTTATACTCCCACTGGAGGGAACGGATTTTGTGTGCCGTCACAGCAATGCAAATTTGTGAAAGATCTGCAATCCACATATGGACGCAATGTGCCTCGTATTATAGTGAATCAGTTAAGACAGATGGCCTGCATTGGTTCACAGCAATCGGTAATTATTGATAACAAATTATTAAAGCCTGATAAATGCTAAAAAAAATAAAAACATTATCTCCATTACAGATATTCTATTTGTGCTGTCCAAGCAATGCAGTGATCAAGGCCCATAGTGATGGCAATGCCAAAAGTGAAACACAAAACAAATCCACGGTGGACACACGTCAATCGTCTGCAGATCTTAAGCGCATCGATCCAAGTGGCATGAAGCTACTCAACTCGGTCACCGAATGCGGCAAGAAAACAAATACCAAATTATCCGGTGGAGATGAAACAAGAATTGGCGAATTCCCTTGGCTGGTGCTGCTGAAGTATGAGACATCCGGAAGACCTTTCCTGTGTGGGGGTAGCTTGATTACCGATCGATTCGTCTTGACTGCCGCTCACTGTGTGAACCAAGCTCGTAAGCTGTAAGTCCTGACTTGTTAATGATCCAAATACTTTCTTTACTCATTTCAAACTTCCTAATATGCAGAATTGGCGTGCGCATGGGAGATCACGACCTGAACAAAGAAGAGGATTGTCAAGTTTTAGGCGGACGTCGCAGAGTGTGCCTGCCACCGTACGAGGAGTACGGCATTGAGTCAATACGATCGCATCCAAACTACCAGTCCATTAACAATGACATTGCACTCATCAAACTTGACCGCCCCGTTAACTTCAAATGGCACATCAAGCCCATTTGCCTGCCCATCGATAAGAACTCTCAGCATATAACCTACGATCAGAGTTTTTACATTTCGGGCTGGGGTCGCACAGAAGAAAAAATAGAATCTTCTGTGCTATTGAAGGCACTCGTCACGCGAGCGGATCTGGATGTTTGCCGCACCTTCTACCGTAATGCGCCAGTTAGCGAGAATCATATCTGCGCTGTAGGAGAAAGCGATAAGCAGACCTGCGCCGGCGACTCTGGTGGACCACTTTTCTTTCGCAATCCCTTCAAGGAAACCGTTCGCTATGTGCAGTACGGAATAGTGTCACATGGAGGATCGCTTTGCGGCGCACGAGAAAATCAGCCCGGTGTATTTGCCTCTGTACTGGAACAGTTGCCATGGATTACGCAAAATCTTTATTAATGTCCCCCGAAACTGACTTTTGTACTTATATATTATACTCTATAATATTTATTCTTTAGTTTAGCTCCCAATGCCATTGTAATAATCATATTTTTGGTTTTAGTTCGTAGTCTTTATAAAAATATATTTTATTTGCAGTACGAAATTAACTATTCAACGTTTGTAATTTATTGTTTGGAAGTGGCAAAAAAAAAATGAACATGGAAGGAACAAAATGTTATTTATCATTTATTCAGTGGATGTTCTGAGATTGTTTAAAATTGTTAATCTGGTTACCTTTGGCTAAGCCTGTAACAGTTTTCTCTGGGTTTCGCCTTTGACAAGGAAATCAATCTCTCCCAGCAGTATTATATCGACAATACGTTCATGTAGATTAAGTAGGTTAAAACGGTTGTAAGCCCGAAGGTTGATACACATAGGCCATGTTTGGCCCGTTGTGTATCTAATGTGGATTCCTCCTACACTCGTGCATTAAAAACACAAAAGTCAAAGATTTGACCAGCCAGTTGCTTTTATAAATTTCGCTATCCTGGCAGGTCTCATATTCGCTAGCTCTGATAAGATAGTCAGGGCATGGCTTCCCAAGGATTGCCGACCATTTCCTTGTAAGTGCTGGGCAGAAGCTGAAGAAGTGTTCCGGAGATGTTTGGTATGCTGTGCGACCGCAGTTTGCATTTCTCTATTTATCATTTGACCTGCGTCTACTTTCTTCATTGATATTGAGCTTGCAGGTAGCTAAAGGCATACTTATACCTACCTTATACGTGAGGAGGGAAATTCCTTCCTAGCTAGCTCATCAGCCTGACAGTTGTCAATATATGGCTGTCAATATATATGTTGACATTGCCGGGACTGACTTTGAGTCTTTTTAGGCAATTTAGTGATTATTTTATAGCAAGTACTTCAGCCTGAAAAACACTGCAGTGTGTCGGAAGACTGAAGGACATCTGTATATTGAGTTGCTCAGAGTAGAAACTTCCGCCTACGCGGTTGTCTAGCTTTTAGACATCTGTGAAGAAGGTCATGGCTGCCGGTGGTCCGGGAGTACCATGGGTCCATTCCTCCTTTAGGGCGAAGTATGTACTGAAGGGTGTTTCTATTTGTACTACTGGCACGCAGTAGTCTTTTTTCGAAGGGATGTTTGAATTTCCTTCTAAGATAGATGCATGTCGGTTTTCTGAGCAATCCACGATAAGGACTCCCTCAGTCTTACGGCCGTGAGTATTGCATTTTCTGTTCCTTGTCTTTCCTCACATGGAATGTTCAGCATAGCGTCTTGTGCCTCACTAGGTGATGTTCATGTAAATTGACTTAAAAAAAAAAATTAAAGATCCATAAGAAAGTTTTAATACAAAATCTCAAGAAATATGTATTGCTATCATATAAAAAGTATATTCATTTATCTTAAGGACGTATGTAAACGATTGTTTGACTCTACAATCAATACAGAATATTAAATGGATTCAGATTGTAGATTCAATTTAATGATATAAAAATCACGTTTAAACATAATATATATTTTATAATTATTTATTTTAGTGCAATCTTCGTTATTATTTTCTTGCTTTTCGAAATCTTAAGTGCATTTTTATGAAAGCTAATTTTTTCAAAAGTTCAATCTCAGATTGACGTTTTGTACATTATAATTTAATCAAAATTTTTCTGAGCAGCCAATCGTATACGTCTGTGTAAAGTTGTTATTTCTGTACACGTATGCATAAGAGACCATGCTAAGTTGCTTTTTCCCAGATACTGATTAGCATTATGAATCACCCACCAACCAGATTATTTCGTAATAATTTCGCAGCGCACTTATGAGAAGTTTGATTCATTTGAAAATTCCACAGAACTTAACGTTTAAATCAGCTAAATATGTATGTTATTTAAATTGAGAACTAAGTTTAACAATTAAAGATCTAGAATTGTATATTTGAGTGTTTACCCAACTACAGTGTTATTTATTTTACATTCAATTTGGTAAGGTGCTTCACCACCTCTATCTCTGAATCTTTTTGTGTGTAGACCATTGTTGTGATACTATTAGCTCGAATGAGTGCCAATACTAAGAAAGCTCCTCACACACCTTTTAATTTATGACAGGTGCTTGTGAATTTGAAGTCTGGTTCAGGTTGGACTTAATTGCTAGCTCGTAGTCACAACTTTGGTATGCCACAAATTGCGATTCATTGTTTTGTGTGTATACTACTTGCCCAGCGACTAATCTAATCAATTGCATAAATCTAGCTTAGCAATTAATCTCAGCAAGTTCAATTCAATGTGAAAACCTCAGACGATAAATAGTATTACATTCGTCTTCATGTACTCTTTATACAGAGGGATTTCCACAATGACATCGAATCAATAATTAATTTTCTGAGGATTCAATTTCAGTCCGAAGTATAATACCCTGCACCGTTTTACATATATACGTGTTAAATAATTTTTTATTTCGGGCTGATTTTTACTTTAACAACCTAGCAATTTAGTTCAGCTTGAACACCCAACCTATCTTTTCCATGGCAAATATAGACGATTTCAGTCAAAGTTGTATAGAGATAGTTCCCACTTGGACTGATGTACATTAATAAACACGGGGCAAAAGTGTTCTATATAATTTAGCAGGTTGAACATGTCTCCTTCAATATGACAAAATTTAAATACCCTTCATGTAAAAATAAAGAGTGTCAGCTGGCGAGGGACTAAATTGATTTGAAATTGGAACAATGACTTGATATTATCTAATCGAAAAACTTTCTTTGTGTTCTCTGGTCAACCACCAAAAATGCCTGAAAGCGTCGTCCTGCGCAGCAGAATAGTTTTGGCTTTGGTTGCGAACAGTTTACGGACAATGAACTGGACACGTAATTTGTTGGTGGCGCTGAAATGGTAAATTAAGGACACGTTATATAATATACATTTGCATATTAACCATTTAAGAAAAATAAATAGGTCACTCTATTTGGGAACGTTCTACAAAACGATACCGTTTATAGGCTCTGTCTCCAAATCGCTGATTGAGAGTTATATTTCCTCTTCGGTGTCTTTTAACTTGGATACAATTTAGTATGTAATTGAGATCATGAAAATGAGAGTTCAACTAATGTGAAATTGCAGCCTCAATTGGAATACGTCGTTTCCGGCCATAACCGTTTGTGAGCTATACAATTCTGAAAAAATTTGGGACGTAAGCGATGCGCACTTTGGACAAGAACATGATTTCCATATCGATGATTTTATCAGCGAAATTGCATTCTTTCGAGGCCTTTGCATTAGCTGCGATAATTGTCATGAACTACACTGTCCGGATAATTTTACGCTGCTGTTAGATGTGGTAGTTTTGGACAGCAACAGTACAACCGTAAAAATAAAAGTGCCCCAGATACTAGAAAATCGCTCTTAGCTCAAAATAATACACGATGAATGAAAAATATAAAGCGAGCAAATTCTAAAATTTAAGGCATACATTTTTCCGAGTGTACTCCAACTTTTCTTAACTGATCTAAAAATGTACATAGTTATTTTTAGTTTCGCAGCAAATGTAATGAGCTGATTATTAAGTGTCGCTACCTGAACACTTTATTCGACTGCTGCGATCAGTTTCTGCCCATATTAACCGAGTACGGCGTCTGCTACTCCTTTAACTCACATCAGGCGACAAAAGTAGCACAAGTGCAGTACAAGAACAATCGCATAACAGGAGCGGGACATCTCAAGTTCCATGCAACGGCTGATGTTCAGGTGAATGTGCATGCACCCATCGATGTGCCATTTCAATTCTCGGAGGGCATGATCCGGGAATCGGTGCTGCTAGGTAACAACAAGGAGCTCATCCTAAATGTCATCGAGGTGTACAATCACGAGAATGTCGAGGAGTTGAGCAATGAGCAACGCCGTTGCCGCTTCAGTCATGAGCATGTCGAGCAACGGATCGGAATCTATGAGTTCTACAGCTACTCCGGCTGCATTGTGGAGTGCACGGTTGCCCTACATCTGCTCTACTGCAATTGCACCAGCCACTTTATGGCTGTGCCCAGCCAGAACTCGTTGCCCGTCTGCGACTTTCGTGGCCTGATCTGTTTAACGCACATTCACGAAAAATTGATGGCTGAACGAAAGTCCTGCGACTGCATGAGCTCATGCGAGGAGCCCGAATATAACATTATCTACAACACACCAGATGAGTAAGTTGCCAATAAATAATAACATAATATGAATAATATTCTAATCTCAGCTGCACAAAAAGTTATTCCTGCTAGTACTACATTTTCAACAGATTGCTATAAATTGTAGTAGTTCGATGTTAATAATATTTGTTTCTTAGCCAGCCATGTAATATAGACAAATGTCCGACCGATTTCAATATATTGACTCCCTTCAGTTAACAATGAGATTTCAACAAATTTTATCAAATCTGCATAGAAAGAACCGGATTAATATAAGTATGATGCTTACCAAATCTATATGTAGAAATTTGTCTACTTTAATGAGAGGCAAAATAATAAGGCATAAAATTGACAATTATTGCTAATAACCATTCGTATGTGTCATGTTTCTTGCACGTTTGCAGCAGCCAGAAAGTCGATAAGGATATCTCCGACATACATGTGGCACTGGTGGAGCTGCCCACACAGCGCTATGTGCGTCGCGTGGCAAAAACGCCCCTGGACTTATTGAGTGAGTCATAGTTGTCAGCTGTGTATATATATATGTATACTTTTCATTTCAGTTTCATTTGGCGGCTTGATAAGTCTCTTTTTCAACGTCTCTGCGCTACGCACCGTGGAGACCATATTTATATTTTTGGAATATAGAAAAAAGATCTTCAACTGGGCAAATAGATTCTACATTGGCACTTTAAAATATTTACAAATTTTGATACAGTTAAAGTAAATCACAAAATGTTTTCATTAAATTCTAGCTGTCTTTCAATTGCTCAAGTGAATGCATACTCGTATCGATGTGCATGTTGTTTTAAGCGGATTGAAGAGTCACCAAAGTTTTAGAAACTGCTCATTCTTTGCGGCACATATGAAGAATCTGCCGATGGACTTATCCAAGTTTTTGGTGTTATCACTTCCAGCAAAGTATCCATATAAGTGGGCAAGTAGACATAGCTTGAGAACATCAAAAGTATAAACATAATCAAGACAAAACCATCTGCAAAACAAAAGCATTATTTGTTATTATTGTGTTTTAACAATCTGTCAATTCTTACTTATTAGTTTCTTTTCCCAAGGCTCAAACATATTGATGCAAGTAATCAGCTCATATTGTCGATATAAATGGGCCGCAGTATGTTTTAAATTCCACATCTTTTCGTTATCAAACTATTGGAATACAAAACTAAATGCGTGTTGTTTAGCGTAAATAAATAAAAGAGTGCAGTCTAAAAATGAATATAAAATTCAATATACGGCACCAAAGATGTATTGTTTTCTTTTGCACAAACAGCTGTTTGTAGTGTGACCAACTAGTTTTTTAAGTGTTGGTTAAAATGCTGCACAATAAAGTGTGATAGCACTCAGCTTCTGTCAGTTGTCAAAATTTGTGGCTTGGCGCCAATGAATGTGTTTTGAAATTATATTATTCCGCCTGTAAATTTTATAATATTAGATATTTACATATTTCCTCAATTTTTAGAGCAGCGCATATGCCAAAAATAATATTTGTGCTTGTAAATTCCAATTTCTCCACCATCAGCTAATCACCCTTCAGGTAAAACCAAAGATAAAAATATTCACCTGAACCTGATTCAGGCTAATTTTATGTGTTCAAAGTTAAAGTCTGTCTGAACTAACTAGATATTTAATCGATTAAATTCCGTTAAAATTGAAGGGAGATATGTCGAATTGAACATTTATAGCAACTTTTCTAATTAGTTGTAATGGATTGTGTCCAATTTAAGTGAAATGTTCTGCCAATTTTCATTGACCCACAGCCACATAAACAATGATCCATGTATTTTTTTCTCACTCTAAAGTCTAGACTCTAGAGTCTAGACCATTTGCCTCTCAACGAATGTGTGTGTGTGTCTTAAAGAGGAATAAAATCGAAACAGGATTTAAGACCATTGCGCCATAATTCGCACGGGGAAGGTATCAGCTTGCTAGGCCAGCCAGCTGTGCTTGTGCTTTTTGTACGAGAGCAAGTGCTCGCAAGTGGACGACGACGACGACGCTATCGATTGACAGGCGAGCTTGTGGCTTGATTTATGCGCACAGCAGAGGAATGTGGCAAAGTGTAAAAAATGTGTTTAAAGTACAGCGACACCCAGTCTCCAGTCGCAAGTCTCCAGCCCCAAGTCTCGAGTCCAGAGAGTCGCTTCAAGTCACGCATATTCAGCGACAACTAATTCAATTTCCCACTTGCCATGCCATAAGGTGGCGGCTGTTTAGCCAAGTGTGCACGCCTAATTGGTAATGCGATCGGCTTTATTGAGGCGCAGGCGCAGGCGCTGTTGCTTTTGCTGTTGATGTTGGTGGTGCTGTAACTGAATCTATAGACGGAGACGTTGTCGCTCGGCTATATCGCTGTCGCTCAGCGTAAATCCCATTACGTGCAATCCGTTTCGAGCCATAAACATGTTGCCGCAGCTGCAACAACCAACCAACTAAACCCCCAACGCCTCCTTCTTCTTCATCTTCTTCTTTTTCTCTTCCTGCTCCTCCTTCACCTGTTTTGGGCCACGTTGGCTATCCTGGCATCCAGCAGCGCAACTTGTCGCTCGAACTTAATTGCCTTGGTTGCGCTTATGACTTTCGTGTGCAATGCATCCACATCCACATCTACATTCACATCAGCAGCTCATCGCTGTTGTAGCTGTTTTCTTTGCTGCATTATTAGAAAGTAACTTGCGAAAAAGGTATCAGCATCAGAGTTTCATATCGTCATCATCCTTATGGCTGCTTGCCTCAGTTGTTGGCACTATTTTCGACACCGCTTTGGCCTGCCATAAATTGCCAAATGCCAGCGTCACGGGGCCCTGAAATGCACTCGACGCGCTCTCTCAGCCGCTAAATTAGAAAAAAGTCGGTTGGCTAATTTACGGAGCTGCTTCTCACCAAGCATCTGCCTACCTTTGCCAGCCTGCCTGCTCGCCTGCCTGCCAACCCGAAAGTCCATTTTCCATTTTGTACGGTTTTCAATTAAAGCAACTGAAACAACATGCGACCTCGCGCGCTCCCAAAGTTCACGCCAAAACTGCAGCCACAGCGTGTAGTCGTATCTCGGCATTTACACCCAGAAAAAATCAAGTGCCCCATTATCTTAGCTTAAGTTGAAAGGACAGTTGTCCATTCTCATATTCATGCACTTAACTTAAATACCAAAATGAAATTTGATAGTTGATTCAAGGATTGTTTAGTTTTGGTTATTTTTAAGAACGACTGATAATGTTGTATGAATTCATGTTGACAGACAATTTTTGGGCAAATGCAAAAGCTTTTCGAACCCATTTTAAGAAAGCGATTTCTTCATTTTAGTAACAACATTTTTCTGAGTGTATATGTGCCTTTGTCTCTGCCAGTGCCGTGCAACTAATTCCGCAACACGGCTGCGACGATGGCAGTACCCGATACCATTTTTCCAGGAATAAAGTGCACTTGCCATGTGGAGAGAGAGATAATCAAATGTTTTTTGGGTGCCCAAAACGGACTCGCAGTTTGCATTATTGTTCTGAGAAATTGTTATTAATTGAGCTGTATACGAGTATATTGATGAGTGGCCGGTAGAGTCCAAAAAATTAACCTCAGTGGGTGGTCGAATGTTCCTAATGGCCTAATGTATTATTGGTCGTAGTCCATTTGTTTAGTTTAATTTGGATTGGCCATTAATAAAACAAGTGGCTCGAATCGAGCACCGAACCGAAGATCGCGCCTCATTTGCATGCGCTTAATTTATGCCCATCAATTAGCTGATTAATTTATTTGGCGTGAGACGCAAAGCTAAGCGACTTGTGCTTAAAACGCTTGTCTAATTAGATAAATGCGCTACATTAATGTCGCCTCATTTATAAAGCGTTGCCTCTGAACTGTGGCAAATTTTTTGATTTCCCGTTCATTACAATTAATTTTGCGATAAGCTCAACTGAGGAAAACATGGTCGAAGGTAAGTCATAAAATTTATTTCCGAGTGATTGTTTTTCTTCGCAGCGTCAGATCTATGTATGCCAATCAATTCCCATCCCAAATTAGCTTTTAATACTGTTTATAAATGCCACCTGTCCAACAACACGGACATGGCTCGATCTCAATCCAGCTCCTGGCCTGCCAACTCTTAAGAGCTTTGTCTGCCATCGCCAGGGAAATGGAAAATATTTTAATTAAAATACAAACTAAACGTTTACTGTAAGCGATGTTATCCGCTGCAACAGCAAAACTGCAACTAGCAACAAGGCGAGTCACAGCCACAAGAGTCAACGATTGGAGTTGGAGAGCTACCGGCTGCGTGTCTGGCGCTACAAATGCAGCAATTGTTGCATGCAACAACATTCAACATGTGTCGCACAGCGCCTATTTGAATATATATCAAATCAGTTTAAGATAATTTTCTATAACAGCTACTAGCGACACAGCAAATCGCGAACATTTCTATTGCTTGGCAAGTTCGTTGCCCAAGTCTTTCGTTTTTGCTAAATCTTTGGCAGTGCATATTTTACGCGCTGCCTGGCATTGTTGTTGCCAACGTTTGCCAGATTCGAAATTAAGTTGTTTTGCATAAAAGCACCATAAAAAGGCCGCATGGCAAACGCACACAGACCGAAGCAGGCACAAGGAGGCTAAAGGAGGCAGCAGCAGCAGCAGCAGCAATTGTGATTAGAACGACACGACAGGCACGACATGAGCGCAGGGCACACAAGACATATGACGCTGTTTGCTCCTTACGAATATGGACAACAATTGCCCCAACAACAACAACAACAACAAGAAAAGCAGTAACAACGACAGCCAAGACAGCGACGAAAATTGCCAAGTCAACACGAGCGACGTATGTCAACAAATGGCACTGCCATTAGCGGCCAATCCAAATCGTCTACACCGAGAAAAAAGTAAAATAAAATAAACAAAAAATTCGGTAAGACCGAATTTTGAAAGTCTAGGACGCTTATTAATCTTGGTTTTTTTAAACTTCTTCGTATGTTAAGTCCAAATTGACTTGATTTATCTTCAACTAAGAGAGAGAGAGATAAACATAGAGAGAGGCAGAGATAATTTAATTTATTCACTTGATCGTTATTAAGCTTATTTGTTGCTTTAGCTTAGCTTAATTATTTCTTATTGCTTACTATAATATTACACTATATATTACTGAATAACTTTCAAATCATGCAAAACTTGAAGTGAAAATGTAATTTTGATGAGTTTTTTGTGTGCCAAACATAATAATTTCATGCTCAATTCAAATACTTTAGTTATATTTTAAAAACGATTTCCAAATCTGAAAATTAAAGATGACTAAGAAATGAGCTTAATATTATTAGGCTCCTTCAGCTAAATTTTTTTTTCTGTGTAGATGGGATTTGGCTTCCTGTAGCTGGTAGGCAAATGCTAGGATAGCTATTCGAGCTGCTGATCACCAACGGCAGCAAACAGCAACAGCGGAGCGGCAGCCGCTTGTTGCAACTATTATCAATTTAAGTTGGCTAATTGGTTTCAAATTTATGGACCTGTATTTGATATTTATGTCGTCTGCTGAGAAGCGAGCGGCCAACTTCAGGCTGTTGCCCCGTTCACCCGTTCGTCTGGGGCATCGTCGCCATTTGGCTGTGGCATGCTGCAAACAACGTAATTGGCTTTCAATTTGCAGCAAATTGTTGCAACAGCCACGACAACAACGCAAAAGCAGCGCTATACAGCGAAACATATTTAGATTATAGACGGATAAAGTTTATGTACGTTCTGCTCTGTTCGGCTCTGTTATGTTCTGTTCTGGTCTCAGACAAGTTTCGCTGACTTGCTGCCTCGATGCCTGGGTGCCTGAGACTTGGGGTGGACGTTTCGACTTCTTCTTTTTGCCAATTCTCCGCTTCTTCTACCATAATTCCAATGAGTTATATGCCCATCATGTGCACTCGGGAACCCTTCAAAAGTTGAAAACGTAGTGCGCGTTAATTAAAAACCAACAACAAAAGCGCCAAAAATGCTGCTAAATTTTCGCTCCTCTCACTCTCGATCCACACAAAAAAGGGCGGCCAGTGCTGTGTTAGCTGTGTTTGACTGTTCCCTCCGAGGGTTTAGCTGTTCAATAACTAAATAAAACACTCAAGCCGGCAAGCTGGCCAAAAGCCGAAGCCGCTTCGTCGATCGTTGCCACAATCAAGCGAAAATTCCTGGCATTTTCTGCTTCATTAACAACGCACAACGCGGCCATTTCGTTTTGTTCACGAAATTTACGCACACACGACATACACTCGCATACACACTCGCACACACACACTCACACATACACATACACAGACGAGCAGCGATCAAGGTACGAAAGTCGCCACGTTTTGCGACTCGATCAGCAATTGAGCTTAGTTTTGTTTTCGGTTTTTTTGGTATTTTAATTAGAAACCAAACAACGCAAAATGCATTGCTCTCTGGCCGTTTTGCTTTCCTCTCGCAGGCCTTTAAGCCAGGTCGCTGATTCGATGCCTTGTCGCCTGACTTGTCCTGTGGTTTCAGCCCGCGTTTCGTTTTCACATTCAATTAGCGCATATTTCAAATGTGGTTGCTGCAAACGCGGCTGGGAATATTTCAGTTATGCCAGGCAAAATGCACAGGAAATGGCATCGATACGACCAAAGATCGAGCAATACTTAAATTGTGTATATCGAGATCAAGTCTGGCTTTGCTATATATATAAGAGAAATCGCACAACTCCATCATATCATTGTTTTGTTTTGTTACACTAAACTATATTGCGTGTTATTTGTGATAACTCATTTGAGTAATTTGTATCTATCCAAAAAAATGTTTAAAATCACCATTATAGCATCAATTTGAAAGATCTTATCTCCATTATTGAATTGCATTTATTGGTCTTTCTAAAATATAATCATACATAATAATATATTCAAGCATTTCTACACCCAAACAATATACTACAAAAACAATACGACAAAATTTAAAAACATATCTGTTTCTTGATTTTCGTACATTTGACCCAATGAAAATTTTATGAGTCCTTTCAAATGTTTAAAGCTTGTCAGTTGAACGGAAATTCAAATAATGTTTACAATTATGGTGACCACTTCATACGAGCTCCATTCCCAAATTTCAAAGAGGCTTCAATTGTTAATATGTTTTACTATCATAATTGATATTGCTTTATTGCTTCTAGATCAAAAGTAACTGCTTACAGAGTGCACTGGCGCTACATAAAAATAATAATAAATAAATATTACTATGTTTAGTATAATACATACAGTATGTGGAATTAAATTGTTTTACTTTATACTTAAATACACAGCTATTTAGTTTATGGGCAATCGATTGATTATTGCAAACGATAAAAACAATTTGTTTTGTTCGTTGTTGTTCTTGTTGATGTTTTTCTTTTTAAGTCCTACCTGTTGCGGCTTAAGTTTATCTCTCGATTTTTAGACAAAATACAATAACGGTAACTACAACTTTACAATTTGTATGTACAACTTAACAACTGATTGCTTATTCATTAATTACACATTACATCTCTGTACCGAAAAAGCTACAGAGCTATGCTATTATGTACAGGCTCCTGCATGGGGCCACAAAGGATATACATATTGGTTATATACGAGTATATGCGCGTCCTGGTTTATACTACTAAATATCACACTGTGTAGGATGTTGCTTAGCGATGGAGAGAAGAATTTGAAATTACACTAACAAAGAATGCAACACAAAATGCTAACTACGCAGCCACAACTAACTAACTAACTAACCAACTAACTAACTAACTAACCAACTAACTAGATTATATAACTAACTAGAATATATAACTAACTCGATAGCTAACTAACTTATACACTAATTAAATACTCTACTAATGCACTTTGAAAACGCGCCCGTGCTGTGGCAATGGCTGGCTGCATCATAATCATCATCATCTTCATCATCATCGAAAACGGAAACGGAAATGCCATGCTAAATGCCAGGAACTTTTAAGCGGAAATGAGCCGAGGGCTGTTGGGTCGTGAGATCGCTGCCCATTCATATTTGGCCCCCTCCTCCTTAGACCACCACGGTGGTGAGGACATCGACGCTATCATCGCTCGCCGTCGGAGGCAGCGATTTACAGTTGATGGAACGCTTGCCAAAATCCTTGCGCGGACTCTCCAGCGAACCGACTGTGTTCTTCTTCATATCGGAGTTCTGCGTCTTGTGCAGCAGTATCTGTGAGCTGCGCTTGTGCGCCTGCTTCAGTCCCGTGCTCACGTCCAGCTCTCGCTCAAAATCGCAGGGTGGGAACAGAGGCTGGGAGCGATGAAGCGCTGAACTGCTGGCCGCTGTTGCCGCCAGCTCTGGCGCCGGATTCAGGCTCAGTTCCATGCCGGTGCCGGCACGCAGCGATGTGGTGCTGCCTTTGAGTGGATTCGTATAGCGTCGCAAGTTCTCCTCGTTCTGCAGATTATTGGACTTCTCCTCCTCGTGACGCAGTGCGTCGATCGGTGGTGTCAGATTCATGCCCGAGCTGCTGCGATACGCCAGCCGCTGCTTCCAGTAAAGGCTTATGAATATGGAGAAGCCCACCAGCACAATGAAGATTCCACAGAGGATGCCAATGAGCAAACTGTGACTATTGCCATCAGCCACACGAGCCGTCTCCAGTTTGACCTCCAGTATGGACGTGAGCGCAGCCAGTTTCGCATGCTGCAGCTGCAGTTCATTGCGTCGCTGGATTCCATTCAGTTGGCGGGAACTGAGCAGTTCACCCAACAAGGCCACCGCCACAGGCAGCTGCTGATCATTGAGCTGGCTGGAGGACTGTAAGAAGAAAAGATGCTATATTGAAGAGTTGTGCCTGTATTGAATATACTACTACTATAATACTACTATAAATAACTTATTGTGAAACTTATTTATTATTATATTTAACTTTATTTCGACTTACCACTGTCAGTTCGATGGTGTCATTGGTGCCCGTCTTTAGATCGCACAGCACCATTAGCATGCCCTGCTCCTGTGCTGGACTCGCCGGCGGCACCATCGGCTGCTTAATCAGTCTGGCCGCAAGCAGAACTCTCACCAGCGAACACAGACCCTCCACAGTCGCGCCCTTGCCCACACGCTCCAGATCCAGGAGTATGGTTAGCCGGGCACAGTTTTCGTTCACGAGCGCCTGATTGGGCCAACAGCTGGCCTTGGCTGGCAGACGAGGCGGTGCCACACGCCTTGACGGCTCCAGAGCGCGACAATCGCCACGCACACTGCACGGTGGCGCCAGGCATGTTTCTCCTAAAGCTGGCACGCACACTTCATGCTGTTTGCAGACGCCGGAGAGATTCGAGGACTTGGACAAGGGATCGAGCTTAAAACAATTGGGCAGGCCACACCAGAGATTCGTGCAGCGAGAGGTGCCATTCTCGCAGATACAAGCATTGCAATGCTCATCCTCATCACTGCGACCGGTAAGTGCAGTGTCCAGCCAATTCTGGCTCTGATTCAGGGCGGCATAAGGTGAAATGGTGTTGCTGGCATTCAAGCAGGCAGACTTCGGATCGGAGAGTACTATTAAGAGAGGTCGCAATTTTTAGATAGTTTAGATAGAAAAGCCTTGACTGAGACACTAGAAGGTTACAAATTCGAGACAATCGAAAATTAATTTTCACTACGGGGGTTAAATTTCCGAAAAAAAAATGGCTTAAATGCTTGAATAAATGTTTGACCTTTTTAACAAAAAAAAAAAGAAGTTAAATAACTATTTTTCTGTCTGCGTCGAATTTTACAATCTTAAAAAATATATTAATTAAAAACTTCAAAACGTGGAGTGTCGAAAATTAGATTTAAGCCATAGAGACGAAAATCTAAAGTGTAAGACAAATAATAAAATAATACATCGTTTTCACGAATCTTATACACTTGAAGCATTTTAAGTAGAACAGATAATACAAAAAAATGTACATATATCAATGAAGTTTTCCAATGTTTTGATTACCCTTTGGGAATCAGCAATTAAGTTGAGTTCCATACACCTCAATGCTCTACTTACATATCTCACAGCGCAGACCATGTCGTCCTGGGGGACAGATGCATGAGTAGCCGCCAATGCCATCGATGCAGGTGGCGCCACCTTGGCATGGCTGGGGCGAGCACTCGTTCACGTTGATGCGACAATCTGGTCCCGAGAAACCCTGAGCGCACAGACAGCGAAACCAGCCGGCGCCCGACTCGCATGTGCCGCCATTGTGACAAGGCTGTCCCCTGCACTGGTCGATGGCCTCCGCGCAAAAGAGGCCCGTCCAGCCAGGTGCACACCGGCAGTGCGGCTGCAGCGCCTTGTCCGGCGCTCCGGGCATGCAGGTGCCACCATTCTGGCACTGACCCGCATAGCAGACTGTGGCGCGTTCCGAACAACGTTTGCCTATTGAAACAAAAACAAAGCACACAAAAACAAAAGACTTAGACAACGAACTTGAGCGAAAATCAAATAAGATTAAAAGCAGCGACAGGATGTTGGCTATGCACAAGCCAAGGCCAAATTACAGCTGCAACTAATTGAAATTGAAAAGTAAAAGTGAGCTGACATAGATCGATGTAGCTGTATTTTTATCTACACTAATGTATCTGTATCTTTTAGTCATGTATCTGTGACAAAAAAGCGAAACGCGTGAAATATGCAAATCGCACACATCGAAAACAAACATAAATCATGCGAAGTTTGTGACTGGCTGGATGTACATAACACCCGAACACAGATGAAACGCGCCACTGCCCCACGGCTCAAGTGCCACATGTGGCAAACTGAGACCAATGCGCACATTATTACCGCTCACAGTTTGCCGCATTCGCCACAAATTGAGGCTGTAATGACTGCCGACTTTCAATGTTCAAATAAATGCGACCGACAATTTGAGTGACTGTGTGAATGTGTGCTGAGTGTACTAGGTGTGTGTGCTTGTGTGTGTGTAGCTCACTTAACGTGCTCAGCTCTCGTCTTGCGCTCATTTAAAGCTCCCAAAGCGTTTATAATGCGCCTGTGAGACAGTCGCCTTACAGCAGGTTTTTATACACTCACCAAAAGCATTTCAGCTATGCGAAGTGGCATAGAACATTATAATTTATTGCATTTTTGTCTTACAAAAATTGGTCTGGCAGAACATGACATTATTTGCAAAGAAGAATGGATTAGCCAAAATAAAAAATGTAATAATTATAATTATAATATCAATGCAATCGAACTATTTCATCTCTTCTCTAAATATACAACCTATTAATATTTAATACATCTCTTATATATAGGCTATTATCGGCCTATCTATCTATCTAACTATTAAGATTTCAACTGTTGTCTATGCTTACTATCCATTAAGATTTCAACAGTCGAAAAGCTTGTTTTCAGGTTGCCAACATAGGTCAAAGATAGGGCAATCAAGTCTCGCCATGCTCAGGTGCAAATTGTTGTTGGCTGCACTTGTTGCGCTCGGGTTTTGACATTCACTTAAGCCAGCCAGCAGCAACTGCAAAGACTGCAAAGACTGACTGCATCGACTCACCTGTCCAGCCGGACATGCACTCGCATGTAAAGTCGCCGTCACCGTCAAGGCAGATTCCAGCATTTCGACAAGGATTCGGCGAGCATTCGTTGAGATCTGCAGAAAGTTAATGAGTTTGCTGTTTGCTGTTTCTGTTCCGATTGCAGTGTGTGCATGTGTGTTTGTGTGTAGGCTACTCACTGTGCTCGCAAAAGGTGCCGGTGTGGCCCACATGACATTTGCAGAAGGTGCCCACGTCGCTCATCTCGCAGCTGCCATGACCGCTGCAGGGCTGTCCACTGGGCGTTGTCATCGTCGTCATTTTAGTCGGAGTCTTTGTCATCGCGGTTGTTGTTGTTGTTGTCACTTTTGCTGCTGTTGCTGTTGTTGTCGTTGTCACATTGATAAAGCAGCCCTCTGTTGGTTGACAGACAGTAGTGAATTAGGCTTATGATTATTTTTGGCGGTTCTTATTAAGTTGCAGTCAGCTCACCATTGCAGGGTGGCTGCGAGCAAAGTGGACGTAGCTGCTCGCAGTGTTTGCCGGCACGGTCCGGCGGACAGTGGCAATAGTAGCTGCCGGGCGTATTGAGGCAACGGCCCTGCAGGCAGGGAGATGGCGTGCAATGATCCTTGGCCTCCTCGCACAGAGTGCCCGAGTAGCCGAGCGGGCAAATGCAATTGAATTTGCCAACCATGTCGACGCATTCGCCACCATTGCGACACGGCGATGTGGCACATTCATCGATGTCCGTCTCGCAGTCGCGCCCCGTGTAGCCGGCGGCGCAGGCACACCGATAATCGTTGACGAGATCAATGCAACTGGCGCCATTCTTACACTGACCTACACAATCATCCAAATTCTCGGCACATGTGGCGCCGCCCCAACCCTCGAGGCACAAACAGGAGAACGACCCAGGCAGATTCAAGCATTCACGCGCATTGATGCAAGGCCCATTTGCCGCAGCGTTATTTGAGGCGGCAACGGCACTTGTCAAAGCGGCTAACAGTGCTGCGGAGCTGCTCAGATTACTGCCAATGATGGCGCTGGCGGTGGTGGTCAGTAGTGTTGTTGCAGCGGGCAGAGATGCTGCATAGGATGCCTCGCATTCGTTCACGTCCACCTGACAGACATCGCCGTGCCATTCGGGCGGACATTCGCAGCGAAAGCCGCCGATTAGATCGACACAAGTGCCACCATGCTCGCAGGGACCTCCAGCGCACTCATCAATATCTAAACGAGAGACAGACAAACAGTCACAGAGAAAGAGAGAGAGAGAGAGAGAGAGAGAGAGAGAGGAAGGGGGGAAAGTCAGTAAATCAGCGATTGGTTAAGTGGCAGCCGCAACTCAAGTGCAAATGTGTTGATTTTGTTGTTGAGCGAGCTCAACTTCAACTCAAGCCAGGCCCTTGTCCAGCAGCAGGTGGCTTTAAACGCAGCCAAGAGTCATTGAACTGCTGCCAAACTCACGTGCAGATTGGTAGCTGCGTGCATTGCTTATCACTTGCCTCAAATCAGCATCAGAAAGAAGCTGGCTCGACTCACGCAACTCATTTGTTTGTTTGCTGTAAAGAGCAATAACGGAAACCCCCGAAAATTGTGTTAATCTGACCCTTGGCCTGCCTGTGTGCCTTAATGAGCACACTGTATTGTTCTCCCATGATATGATGTCTAAGGTATACTTTTATCTTACTGCATTGCTTCAGCTGAAGTTTATATCTGTGTATCTATATACTTATACAAATTTCTTTTCTTTCTTGATTTAAATTTAAATATGGCATTTTTTTTAATTTTCGTAGTTTGATTCCATTATTTATTTATGTCAATGTAGACTGTATACACTCCATAAATTTTAAAAGCATTAAACAAAACAAAAATGAAACTGTCCAATTTCCATATTGGTATGCGTTGAATTGATGGTCGGCAAGTTTGTTGCCTAAGTCGTTTGATATTAGAGCGGCAAACTTAATTAGCCTATGGCTTATTGCACTGCCTATCAAAAATGATTTGAAACGAGTGGTGAATGTGTTGTTTCGGTCGTGCTCCAATTGGAATGCAAAATCAAATTTGCCAGACCACCGTGGCAACAACACACAAACCCAAACACCAACAACATTAACAACAACAATAACAACCAGGGGAAAAAAGTATTTGGGTCTGCGTGCGTGCTACGTTTCATTTCATTTCGCTACAGTCAAATGCGTTTGTGCTCAATTGCATGATCGAGTGGCAACAACGAAAACAACAACAACAACTTGTTGTTATTGTAGCTCTGGCTGTGGCTAATCGCGTGCTGCAGAAAATGCGAAAAATTAAATCAAAACTCACTTATTTCACATGTTGATCCCGTCCAGCCGGCAGCACAGCCGCAAGTAAACTCGGCCGACAGCGGCGGCAGCTGTTGGGAGGCGCCTCCACTGCTGCTGCCACTGGCTCCACTGCTGCCACTCGCATTGTGCGCCTCCTGCAGCAAGCCGGCGAGGCTGCGTATTGAATTGCGTCGGCTTATCGGTTTGCCCATGGAGGAGCTCATGCCGCGCATGACGCGATATGTTGTCGGCCGCGTTGCATTCGTTAGCTGCAGAGTAGATGCAACGAGTAGTTTGTAGTTTGCAGTTGGCTCTTTTGTTTGCAGCATAGCGAAATTAGTTTATGGCACTGCGGGAATATGTCTATAAAATGGGGTCTTACCTTGAGGGTGCATGTGCCGCCGTTGCGGCAGGGCTGTGTGGCGCATGGATGCTCCACAATTTCGCACTGCTCACCCGACAATCCTTCGGCGCATGTGCAGCGATACTGATCCGGTGCGGTATTCTCGCAGGTGCCGCCATGCTTGCAGGGTTCATGGGTGCCACAGTAATTTAAATCTGTGTGCGAACGAAACGAAACCAATGCGATACAATACTTTCAAAATGCCACACAACATCGATATTATCATGATGATGTCGTTCGCCATGCACCATGCACCATCCACCATCCACCAGGTGTTGCCTTTAGCCGGTAATTGCCAAGGCTCCACTTGGGTCGCTTACCTTGATCGCATAATATGCCACCCCAATTTGTATCGCAAACGCATTTCCAGGCGCTGCCATTGCAGGAACCATGCTTGCAACCGGGATAGACCATGCACTCGTTGCACAACGGACCACGCCAGCCGGGTCGACACCTGGTTGTGTGATTATGGCAAAAGAAAATCAAGTGATTAGTTTTCAAGGCAAGCACTGCATGTAATCCACTTGATAATCTATAATCTAGCGTATAAATCAGCATCTAAGTGATTTTATCATCAGAGTTAACATTTAAATTTTATTGTGCTAAATAAAAACATAAATCTTCAAAAATAGTGCAGAAATACAAATTTGAATTTTTTCTAGAAACGGAAACGAAATCTTATATTAGATAGAAAGCAGATCACTTTTGAATTGATTGAAATTAAACTAATTTTGTATACGAAAATTATGAAGGAAATCTTATTCAAATAAAACAGTTGTAAAATAAAATGAAGTCCTTTCAGCTGCATTAGGATTATAGTATTTAATAGTACTTGTTCATTTCATTTACATTATTTCATGCAATAAATCCAAGGCAATATGTCAATTTGCATGGGAACGCATATCCAAGTTTTCTAATCAGTGAATTGGGTCACTTTGAACTTTAGCCTTGGGCCTGCAACCAAACAACCAAATTTGACCATTTCGACCAACCGAATGGATTTGTGTTTTGGCCGTTGATGCTGCGATTTTATCGCTGCAACACGCTAAAGTGCAGGGATCAAAGTTAAATTGCCTGGCCAACGAGTTATCGCCGCCAGCCGCCAGTTGCCAGCCGCCAGCCGCCAGTTGAGGTGCTAACTCTACAAGCTGGGCATGACGTTCAAGGAGATAGCCGGAACGGAACGTTCGAGGCCCAGTGGTACAGTCTACTGGTGCAGGAGAGACGATGTGACGTTGTTCGATGTCTATAATTTATGATTTCATTAAAACAGCAGCCTGTTGTTATCTGTAAATGAATCTATTGCAAGCGGCATTTGCGGCGAGCGCAAATGGGCCAGCAACGTGCAAACAGCAAAGTAATTTTTCTTCTTGCTTATAATTGTTGTTGCTGCTCTTGCTGTTGGCTAAAAGAGGCTGTGCGAAAAGTCTGTGAACGACGAACGACGGAAATCTGCTGCTGCTCCAAGCTTGTTGCAACATTTGACTGGTTTTTTTTTTTTGATTTGATGGTTTCTAGGCCACGCTAATTATTGCTATTTAGAATCAGTGCGCCAGGACCCAATGCCAAGGCAAGCGTATATAGCAGGGGAGTGCAGGGAGGGCGGTACAGGCCAACAGAGGGGCAGACAGTTACTGCTGACTGACTGACGGGTGAATCTGTGGTTGTTGCCTCTGAGAAATGCAATCATGGCCGCTGGCTCACGTATTCTGTGTTACGCTCAAACATTTACAACGGCAACAACAACAACAACAAGCACAGCAACAATTCCACAAAACCACAAACGTTTTTTCGTGCTGGTGCCGCCTGCGGCTTTAGCTGCTCCTCCTCCTTCCTCTTGCCACATTGCCATCCTTTGGCATGGCAGGCAACCGTTCATGTTGTGTTCTGGCAGCGGGCATGACCATTCACTTGGCGGTTGGCGGTCGGAGTTGGAGTTGAAGTTGGAGCAATGCAATGTCGACTAGCATTTGGGCATCGTGCGGGTGTTTGATTAGCAGAGCTAAGAGCTAAGAGCCTCCTGATCGGAGACCGAGACCAGAGAATTGCCCAGCGAATTGTGAATTGCACTGTGGAAAGTGCAACATAGATGGCTATTGATTGCAGATTGCAGCTGCTTACAACTTCATAGCGATAGCATAGAAGATTTTATTATGGACCGCGGCTAGGCCAAATACCTTGTGGGGAATTTCAAATTGTTTTTCTCCCATTGCATTCATTATAAGTTGAATTATATTTAAGATGTCAATAAGTGGATGGCTGCTCTCGATATCGACAAGTCTACATTTGTACTCAATAATAATAATGATATGACAACATTTATGATCCATATTGATTAGGATTAAGAAAGAGTCGATATTACGCCGATATTGGTCATCAATATCGCCTGCTCATTATTATTGAATGGATATTTTTTGTTATGATCTGAACTGATTTTCAAAGGAATTAAAGTTAATGGTCGTATTAGTTTTTGTTTCCCATGGCATTATTGCGAAAAATTGATGCCTAGTGTCACATGAAAGAAACTTTCCCAACTAACTTTGAATGTGGTACATTGAGCTTGACAACTGTTTACACATCCGCTGGGAGTATTATGATTGTTGTTGGCAAGCAGCAAAAAGTAAAAAGCCACCCAAAGAACCCCATTTCTCTATGATGTGCTTAATTGTGCTATAAAAAGCATAACATCCATTATAACTGTGCCTGTGTTCGAGTCGCTGTCGATGCCTGGTCAACATGGCCAGCAATCTGCCCCACGGGGCCCAGGCCAGGCCAGGCCATTAAGCGCCCCAATGTTGTACGACACACGCAGCAGCAACGGCAACAAAAAAAAAAGTGTCATAATCACATCGTTAAGGGGATAGATGAGGCGGGGGGAGAGGAATGATGATAATTATAGTGTACTTACTCGCATTCACCGGGTCGATCACACTTGCCGTGAATGGGATCACAGCCGGGCTTGCAAATGGCCTCCTCACAGTTGACGCCCTGCCAGCCATTCAAGCAGAGCTTCTGACCCTCCGAACCGCAAGCGTAGTGACCGAACTGATCGTCCCGCGGTCGGCAAAAGGTCGTGCAGGTCGTGTTGTAGTAGGTAACGGCGCATTGCACCCGGACGCGATAGGTGATGCGCGCGTTGCGACCGATGTGGTCCAGTGTCTTCCACTCCGGCGACGGCAGTATCACGCCCGAGTATGATGTTTCTTCAATTAACCTTTCCGCATCTGCATTTTGGCATTGTCGTCGTCGTCGTTTTTGTGGTTGTGGTCGTTGTGGGTTTTGCATCCCAATGACAATTGTTGGACAGCAGCCACAGCAGCAGCAGCAGAGTCAACGATGGTGGCATCAACGTTGGCGTTCCACACAAAAAGTTGTCAAGGATTTGGATAGATTTTTGGGGTGAAGGGAGAAAGGCAATGTTTTAGACATGGCTGACAACATTTTGCGCTCAATTGGCTGGCAACAGTTGCTGCTGCTGCTGTTGTTGTTGCTACTGTTGTCTCTTATTGTTATGGGCTGCGTTTGCTGTGCTAATTAAGCCAAATGCTCCGCTCAACAACACACGATCAGCAGCAGCAACAACAACGGCAAAAACAACATGTTGCATTTGCAATTGCCACCGCACTTACCTGGATAGGATGTGTTGTACATGTCCAACGCCTGGAGTATCAGCGTAAACGACTTCTGTAATTGAACGTTGCAGCAGCCAAAAAGAAAAAAAAAAGAAGCAGAAGAGGTTAGTAAGTATTCAAAGAGGGTAGCAGCATGGACGTAGCCACGAGGGGCACACGAAATAAACTTTTTATATAAAAAGTATTCAAAAACTGTTTTTGCTAAATTATACTACAGCACCTAAAACGCTGTAATTTTAACAATATATATAATATAATGTAGTTTTCTGATGTGCTAGGCATTAAAGGGGACGACTGCGAGTCCATTAAGTATATATTTATTCTTGATCACCATGACTGGCCGAACAGATAAACTTATGTTCACAAGGGTATTTCACCTTCGGCTTGCCGTTCTTTTTTAATTGAATTTCTACTTATTATTTGCATATGCAGTAACCTGTTAGTTCGGATAAGTCACGCCCCCATTAGCTGAGATTCTTGCTACGCCCATGGCAGGAGATACAAGGCAACATTTTGGCATTCGTCTCTCGTCGCAGTGTTGACGCTAATGGACAGTTTAATCTGAAGTTGGGTTTTCGGCACAAGCAGCCAGTGATGCAAATGAAGACAACGGACCACAAAGCGAACAACGAACAACAAACAGACAAACAAACAAACAAACAGCGAGCAACAATAGACAGAGACAGAGACAAAGACACAGACAAACCCAAATGCACAAACAAACACTTTAATTTCACGCAAAAGCGAAAACAAACCATCAAAAACTTTCTAAACATTGCCAGGGAGTGGATTCCCATTCCAGTCCAAAGCATTTGCTGCAATTGGCTGCGCAAAACAAATTTCTGTTTCTTTTTTTGTTTCTTTGTTTTTGTTCTGTGAATGCGCGCATAAAAATTGAAGACTCGCTGTTTTGTTTTTGTTGTTGTTGTTGCTGTTGTTCTTGTTGTAATTGCCAACTGAGCAGAAGATTTCTCGTGGCACAAAAAGCAATTAAACGTCCACTACGACTTCGACGACGACGACGACGTTGTCGTCTGCACCGCTGGATGCCAGGAAATGCTCATTTAGCAATTTGCAGGAGGAGAGGCAGCGAGGAGGTGAATTGCAACTCTGCTTGGCTGCCGGCTTGTTGGCTTGTTCCCAAGTAATTGGCCCGGCGACGCGACACTAAATCAGTCCAAAGCAGACATTGCCTAATTATAAACAGTTCAACTCTGGCCGCTTCTTGCAACTTGACACAGTTTATCAAATCCATCCAGCAATTGTTATTGTTGTTGTTCTTTTTGTTGCTGCCCACTGCTCGAATTTCCAGTCAATTTCCCGCTGTCATAATTTGAGTTCTCTCAACGCTCTTTGCTCTTCCGGGCGGGCGCATGCTAAAAATCTTGACTTGCCTCGATGACAGCGGAAGTTTTTCAATTGAAAATGGCGTTGAATTGGTTTCGGATTTCAATATTCATGTTCAAACAACAGACACGAGCCATTGAGAGCAACTGTCACTAATCGCAAAGTGTGCTAATGAGGGAATCAAATAGCAGTTAGAAGTGATGCAAATGTACAAAGATGGGCTTTTGCCAATTAAAAAAAGTATTATGATAGAAACCATGAACAGATACGTAGTTCCCTTTAGTACATAATTTAATTAACATCCTATAAAACATATTCTAAACGTCGGGATCTACAATTTGATTTATACTTAAGGCAATAGTACTCGTGCCTTACCAGTTGTTATTACCAAGAGTTAAATTTTAAAATATTTCTAAAAAATTTAAAATAAAATAACTTTCAAAGAAGAACGCTATTGATATGAGCAAGCCAAAGGCATACACTTCCATTATTTTTAATGTGTTCTGTGTTCTTTTACCATTCTAAATATTGAAAACTAGCTAATAAATACATTTTAAGTAAACAATGAAGAATCGAAATGTTTATGATACCAGTTTGCAATCGATTGTTAATTTGATCAATTCATCGTCATATATTACGAGTGATTAAAGATTAATGTTAGACACAGGAAATTAAAGAGAAATATAAATAATAATATAAAAAATAATATCTATAAATAGCTAGATCTTTTGCTCTACTCAGATCATTTGAATATTGGCGAAAATCAAGTAGCAATCAAGACACAATCGTTGAGCTTTCAATTGGCCACTGAAATGTTTACAAACTGTCAAGAACTTGACCATACTTGGCATTCATTCGGCACATCTACAGCAGCAAGAACAACAACAACTGTGTTGGACAAATAACCTACCCACTTTCATCCGAGTTTTATCAATGACAGTGAACCATTTGCGTGCTATAAGCGAAAGCTTTCGAACATTTATACATCTTCTCTATTTTTTTCATTGTTAAGGAGGCAACTCCAAATTTGGCTTCATGTGGGGGCAGTTCAGCTGAAAATGGAATCTATGCAACTATGGGAATGCCATTCATCTGGCCTAAGCACACATATACATATATACGTAAATATATACATGTATATGTATATGTATATGTATTTGTATAAAAGTAGAGCAAGAGCAACAAATTCCACTTGAGAATTTTGTGGATGATTGCGCACGCGCACTCCAACAAAACAGTTGAAAATATTGTCAAGTGAAATTCATATTTGGTTATTTTTTCATGTGTTTTGAATAGTTCGATGGGCCCTGTTGGAGTTTGTGTTTGACAGTTACATTAAAGATGCTGCTGCTGATGATGATGTTGTTGCTGTTATTGTTGTTGGTGTTGCTGATGCTTCAACTTGTTTTAAGTGTTTGAAGTATTTCATAAGTCATGTTTATAAGTTTTAACGTGCCATTCACTCAATCAACTCAGTCGCAGCCGCAGAAGAAGAAGTTGAGGAAAAAAAAGTCATTCAATAAAAAGTGGGACAATTGCGACGCATCAGCAGCAACCACCAGAGACAACAACATCAACAACAACAACAACAGCAACAAAAGTAACAACTCGCTTATATATCGGCAGCTTGATTTTTGAAGATTTCGTGATTTTGTGAAAGGCTTCTTGAGATGGAGCAAATATTGCTTCGTTCGTATGCAGAATTTGCCAATGCCGACGCCAGCTCAAACATTTGCCAGGTTTCGTTTGGTGCCAGGCATAAAGCACACACACACATACACACACAGACTCGCTCACATACGACTACATGTGTGAGAGTTGCAGGCAGGCAGGCAGTCAAGGCAAGATTAAAGCGAAACCATAGCGAAGCGTAACGTAACGTATCGCCATCGGGCCAAGCGAGCGAGCGACAAGCGCGACAAGGTAATGTTCCCACGAAACAGGTTGTCCGCACTTCAGGCCACGACCACGACACTGCGCCCGCCGCAGACTTAGATTCAGACTCAGACTCGAACTCGGACTCCGACTCCAACTCGAACCCAGAACACAGACACAGTGTGGCCCAAGCCTCACACTCGAAAAAATAATAGAAGAAAATTACAAAATTGGTAATTTCACAATTCCAAAATGCAAAACTGCAAAACTGCTTAGCATCTGAACAAATTCTTGACTATAGCAGACAATTTTGATTCAAACACATTGTTCGTAAACTCGCAATTTCACAACGCAAAACTGTTTTGGGTTGAGTTTGAATCCAGAATTTAAATTGTTAAGTTCTGAATTAGAATTTTTAGACATGCTGACAATATTTCTCAATTAAATACCAAGTACGCGTTTCATGTTTAGATTCCGAATGATCCATAATAATTAAGAAATATTCAGAAATTAGTGTTGCTTGAATTTTGGATGAAGGCTTTCTTTCGTACATTTCGAATATAACTTTTCTCTAAGTGCAGAGCCGGCTTTCTGACGCATGCGCGCCGGCTTCCCAGACTTGGCCATAAGCAACTTTGGCGAGTCAGTCGCTTAATGTAAACGACGGCGCATGCGCATGCCGACGTCGCTGTCGCAGTCGCTGTCAGCGTCAGCGTCACCATCGGCGTCGCTGTCAACGTCTGGCTTATGGCCATCAGCAGAGAATTAGTTGGCAGTGTCGACGAAGGCGTGTAATTGTTAACCAAGTTAGTTTGGTGCTTGTACATTACCAAAACATTGCCGTTTTGAGAGAAAAAAAAAACAACAGCAACAAATAAAACCTTAACTAACAAATACAAAAAACAAGAGTTGAATTCAACTGGCAGCTACGCCCAGGCCAAGTTACATTAACTGGCATGCATGAGGCAGCAACAACAGTACAAAAAGCAGCAGCTGTGGCTATGTTTTATAGCGCGACGGAACGAGAACAGTCGAAATATGCCACGTTTTAGCAGTCATAAGCCCGCATTATGCGCACTTAATTAATGCCCAGGCCCCAGAATGCTTGAGACGAGGGTGAGCCGAGGCAACCGAAAGAGGCTTAACACTAAAAATGAAAAATAAAACATAATTTTTAATTGCTTTTTATATTCGGCTACCGCAGCGAGTAAGCGGCTTTTTTCCAGTGGCAGCCAGCCGTGATTTATTTTCCCCACATACTTGTACAAGTATAGGTATATAAGTATATATATATATATTTAGTATTTTCCAAAGGTTTAGGACGACGCATCATGAGTCAACAATTATATTCAGTTTCAGGCAGCTCTATAAGCCGCCGAGGGGCGCAACTTATATTTTGGTGCTAGCCAAGTAAGCAACACACGCAATGTTTTGTATACCCTGCACAGACTAGAAATGGGTATGTATGTATGTGGAGAACAGGCAGTGCGATATATCCACGAACCCACCAACAGTCGAGTCGTTGCAGCTATGTTTGTCTGTCTGATCTCAGAGACTATAGAAAGTAGACAACTAAAACTTGAAATGTAGTTTTGTGTTTGCCATAAGCTTAAAGTTTGTTTATCAATAACTCATTCAAAACTTAAGATATCGGAAAACTTAAGAACCGTAGTAAATAAGAGCTATGTATGATATATCGATCGAATTGTGTAAGATATGCATACATATGGGAAGCAGGTCAATAATATTTCCCTATTCGGCCAGCTGCCCTTCATTCCCCAAGATTGAATACAGAGTATTTTTAAGAATGCGACTCTCTACTAAAAAGCTTTTGTTTTCATTTTTTGGCACTGTTTTGTTTTTTTTTTTTTGGGTATTTTTTATTTATTGAGTTGACCGGAAACCGTCTCTAAGTAGATCGCAAGAGCAATAGACTACTAAGCAGCTACTGCTCCAGTGCTTATCACGGCTGCACTTGCGGCGAATTGTTGCCGGCAGCAAAATGTGATTATCGCATAGAAATTCCACGATGACGCCGTCGTCAGCCACATCAGCTCCACAGTGGAGCTCCATGCGGAACAGTCGACGAGTCGACGAGTTGAGTTTGCTATCAATACGCCGTCAGCTCGTGCCAAAAGTGTGCGTTTTCATTATTATTAGTGTTAGTCTTGGGAGTAGCAGGGGCTTCTGCAAGGCAGCGAGGGGTTTTTGGTTTCGTTTCGTATCGTTTCGTTTGGTTAACCACAACAACAATGGGAAGAACAACTTACCGTCCAACGAAATGTGAAGGGTAAGACAATGGCACCCACGCCCGGATCGCTGAGCACAAAGCTGGAGCCGCCGAGTATCTTCGTTGTGGAGTTGCCAAATGAGCAACCCGTCGATATGCTGGCGCCTTGTTCGGTTGTTTGATACTCCTTCAAACACAGCCGGAATGCCGTTGTGCACGGCGAGCAGCCTACAAAGTATACAGAGAAAAAAAGGAGAAAACAAAAAAAGGAAATACATTCAAAACGTTAAACGAATTATAACATTTGTTTGATAATATTGAAAAATTGGTAAGAGCACTTAAGCATTAAGATTAATACAAATGCTTGAGTCCATATGGAATTGAGTTTGATATTAATAATAGATTGTGGCTTAATCATAATTTATGATTATTTCGTCTCTCTGCTTTCTTTCTTACATCTTTGCGTGGCTTTCATTTGCCCCAATTTACAGATAAAAACTTACCTTCAATTTATTTTTTAATCATAGTATATATAACTAAATTTAAAGTAGATAGCTCGAAATTTATGTACAATTTTACACCCAGTCTAAGAAAAAATAATATATACATATTTATTTTCTCTGTCTACCAAAATACCCATTCTAGCGTCTTATACTTATTTTAACATTTCCCATTTCGTAAAATCATATTTCATAGTTTAAGAATGATTGATGAAAAAGGGTTAAATTTTAAGAAATAATAATAAAAAACGCAAATTTCTGACAGTAGCTCAACTTTCTGCGCGGAAGTGATAACCCCAAGTCTTTCTGATAAAAAATCGTTTATATATAATGACCTTGAGCAGAATGAAACTTGTGAGTGATAAGTGAATTATTATTATTCCATGAAATGTGTGTCAAATTCGAATGTGTGTCAGTTATGCAAAGACTTGATATATAATTACATAAATATACATATGATAATTTAATATTATATACATATATGTTTATTTTAGAGATTGGCGTAACTTACCCGTTGTCTTGGTGGCTCGTAGTTCTGGTGGTACACCGCAGCAGTAGCCGCTTAGTAGATGGCTATTGGTATTTGAGATTTCTAATATTTCCAGCTCGAAGTTACCAGCTGCGGATATCTGTAAAAATCGAAAGGTACATCATCAGCAATAAGCCGCAACCAAAACATAACAAATCAACAACAATAAAAACAACAAAAAAAACATGTAAACACAAATTTCGAATCGTTCAAATCAATCATGGCCCATAACGAAGCCATAAGCTGAATAAGCGTACAAAAAAAAAACCAATTCTCCCCATCCCCCGCTGGTGCCCGGAATTCTTAAGCGTACCAATATCAAATAATATGCTCAACACCGCCGTTCAAACTTGGTTCGCAGAGTTCGTTCGCTTGTTGTAAAAACTAATAAGCCACCTAGGGCGCTCTGATTGGGCTACGGTAGAGGTTTTAATTAAAAAACACGAGAAAGAAATTCAAAATGGATGAATTTATTTGTTGGAATTTGTTATTGTTGTTGCTGTGGGATTTCGTAGGCAAATGAAAGGAGCGCCAGTTGGAGATTGGACTTGGAGCTGGAGATGGAGTTGGAGTTGGAGACTGGGCTGCTGTCTTGATAAATCTAGCGGCAAATGAAACATGAAAATAATGAGAATTATTTTCGAAAAAAAAACACAAAAGCATTTTAACTGTACACACACACACACAGAGCGAAAGAAGATTGTTCGATTTGTGGTTCAGCTCACTTAATCAAACGAGATATCCAACTGCTTGTATAATTTAGAATGCCTTTGTTGGCCAAAAACCAGCTGGAGTTGCCATTTGCCAAGCAAATCAGATAAAAAAAAGCCTATCGTTAAGCGAATTTGCCATAAAATTAATAACACATTAGATCGCCACCACGCTAAAGATAGAGAGAGAGTGAGAGAGAGATGGAGAGAAATTGCACATAAAGTTAAACTATTTCTCCATAATGGCTGCACATAAATTAGCTCCAAATGCAGCTCCTCGACCACTCCGCCTTAACCACTCTTCCTGCCCAGTGGTCATCAACTTTGTAGTTTAGGGTTCATTACAAGTCCAGCTTAAAAGCCAAGCAACTGCTGCAGAAAATATGCTAATGAAAATTTTTAGTTGTCTAGCAACTTTAATGGTTTCATATTTCACAAAATTTATTGTCAAAGGCGGCAGTTTTTAGTGGTAGTTGTTGGTTGGCTTTTGGTCGTTGGGCCGCCGTTTGGTAGCTGGCAGCGTTGATAAGTTTATTAGAAATAAATTGCAATTTAGCCTTAAGCCTGTCGCTGACTGCCTCGGCCCGAAGCAGGCTGTGGACCAGCCTGTGAACCTGGCTAACGGCAGTTGCCAGTTTTGCAGACGCACTTCTTGGCCAACTGCACCTGTGCAACGCCAACAAAAGAATCAACAAAAACGACTACAAAAACTGAGAATTTTAACATTGTGAGTTGAAGTTGTCGAGGCGGTTGTTGCTTAGCTTTGCTAAGGGTGTTTTAAGTTTGTCGTCAAGTTGAAGAAGACATCTCCGAACCCATAAAGTATATTATTAAGAAGTCTTAATAATCGAGTCTCTTTGTTGCATGTGTTCAAAGCGAGCGATGACTTTATCATCTAGCTTCAAGTCAACTTTTTAATAAAAGCCATCGTTGTCAGAGTTAAATTTACCAGCAAAAAAAACATCCTTAGAGTATGGCAAAAAGAATTGTATTTTTCATATTTAACTGCCATAGTAACAATCATACTTTTTATCAACTGAAGTGTATGCCAACTTCGGTGTGCCAAAGATATCTTTATACATATCTGATATTCAAGTTAAAGTTGTCTTCGAGCAGCGTGCATCGTTGATCATGCCATAGATCAATCAATGCAGTCAGTGCATGCCACTTGCCTCACTCCTGACGTGAATCGGTTGAGTTTCAGTTTGAGTTGAAGTTCGAGTTCGAGTTCTGTTTGTGCCTTTTGTTTGCCGCAGCGTTGTGCTGCACATTTGGTCAGTGCCCCAGCGGCAAGTTGATTGGATTCTTGATCGGTCGCGTCTCACGAACCGGTTTGCCAGCATACATACATTGATTGTGTGCCTGCTTACTATTTATTTATCACATTTCTTTTGGGTCCCCGCTTTTCATTCATGAGATCCCCGACGTCGACGAGTCGCCGAGTCGGCGAACAAGTGCAGCTGCTGCTGCTGCTGCCTCTGTTTGAGATTCTCGCAATCAAGCGCTAATATTCGAGACAAACTTTGACGTAATCAATTCGATTAGATAATGCCCATGAAATGCCACAAACAATTGACTGGCTGCTTCGATTAGTAATGCGGCGCCAAAGGAAACAAAATCAACTGCTTAAAGATTTGGTACACATCTTGACGAAATGCCACAAATTGAATAGCAATATTATTAAGAAACTATATCCTACACCTCAACAAAAGTTGTTTGCAATTGCACAAATCAATGTTACACAAAATTGGAATAGGTTTCAAATGAGTATCGCACATTGTGAAACCCGATGGGATTCCAAAAATGTTGGAGTATATCAAAATAAAAGAAAAAGAAACAATTAATCTGTCGACAGCAAAAAACACATTTAAATTACAATAACTAAGAACGTTGCAGTCAAGCATAACCGACTGCAAAATACTCTAATACCAATTTAATGCCAGCTGATATGAGGCAGCAAACCGTGCCAAAGAAAGTTTTTGTTTGTGGGTTTAGTTAAAAAAGTTGCCAGTAATCTTTCAAGTTTGAAATGGTTTAAAATGGTGAGGCATGCGATTTTAACGATTTTTTAACAATCAATAAATAATGTTTTTATACAATAATAATTTCGAGGATGTGCTACTTATTTTGTTATAATTTTTTTATTTTGAATTGAATATGTGCTTGCGCAAATTTAAGCCTTGTATTAAATGTAAAAAAAACATACTAAAACGCTTTCAATGGAGTTAAATGCATATTTATGTGAAATTACATTAAGTGTAATTATATTTTGATCAACTGGCGCCAGTTACAATAATAAGTTTTGCCCTAATGAGCGACAATTGCAGTGCGGAACGTTTTGTTGATGCTGAATGGCTTGCGATAAATACCAGCAACAACAAATACCAACAACAACAACAAGAACAACAAATAGCAACAACAAAAGCAACAACAAACAAAACGATCGTGGGAGCCCATTGCGAACCGCGTGAGTTTCGCCAACTCATTTCGTTGACTTTCGAAAAGGCAAAAAAAAATCAAAATCTTTATGAATATGAGTTTCAGTTGTTGCCGCCGCATTAAATGATGCTGTTTCTGCTGCTGATGCTGCTGCTGCTGCTGCCAGTTTAATACGCAGCTTATGATCAATAAATGTCAGGCCTTATGAGGGGATTTAGCTTTTTACGCATGTCAGGCAGCGATATGGTTCCTGGCCAAGTTAACTGGGTTAAATCCAATGACACTCGGCATTGAGTCGAGTCAGCAGTAATCACTGAAGCAGTCAGTTTCAATCAGATCTTGCGTTTCTTGGAAACGCACCATAAATCTGCTGTGGCCACAAAAATATTTAAGTTTTATTTGCTTAATTAACAACTAAATAGTTGCAATGGGTCTCTAAGCCCAAAACCAAGTGGAATGCCCATTTAGGCAGTCATTTCTCATTTGCCGCTCGACTTTTATCGCCAGCCTTAACCGAAATCAATGCACTCAACTTCTGTTGCTGATGTTGTTGCTGCTGTTATAGTTGTTGTTGTTGCTGTTGCCGCGGGGACTCAGATAAATGTGTGTAATCAATTTGATAGCCGCAGCGTTGGGTTTTTAGGCCTGGGCATATTCTAATGCCTCGTTTGCCTGCTCGGGCGTCGTATTAATCAAATTGTTGTTTGTGTTTATATATTCTTGATCGCAGGCACAGCGATTAATTTTATGTATCTTTGACCGTTGGTTGGTTGTTGTTGCTGTTTAATTGCCTCGCAGGCATCCGCTGGCATCTCAATACATGTTTAGGCACTTTGTATAACACTTTATGATGTCTACGCCCCAACTACCGTTGCTGATGTTGCTGTGGCTGCTGTTACCAACTTTTTGGGTTCCCACAGCTCAGCCAGCGGCAAGGTTACAATAATATTTATTTGGTAGACCAAACGATGCCTTGATTGATACTTTGCAGTCGCTTATAAAGTTTCCCCAAATTGTAAATGAGTCTATAAAGTATATTAAGATAGTGTAATACATATTCCAGATTCGCATGATCAGTAGTTTCGACCAGTAAGGGAAATCAAGTTTATAAGTTTCTCAAAACGTTCACAAATTGGAAGTTAGAGCTCTATTCAATTTTATGACTGTAGTAAAATTAATTGCAGCAAAAACGTTTTTAGAAACCTTAAATGGGTTTCAACTTGATACATATTGTGTCAAATTAACACTGTTTCTAAATTATATTTTATGGAGAATAAAGTAATTAATTGGCAACATAGAAAGTTAGAAACCTAAGCAATGTGGCCAGGAAGCTTGTGATAGTTCGAAACATCAGAAATTTTATGAAAAATGGAAAATTCCATTATAACTTATATAAATAGATATTTTTTTTATTGAATAATGCAAATATATTTTCATACTGAGATTAAATTATTAAATTCAGGATTGTATTTTAGACGTGCCACAAAATTCCTATAAAAAAAAGGCAGTTTGAACATCTTTGCTCACATTTTATTTAATTTGCTGTTTTTTAGATGCTGTATATAAAATTGACTAATAAAAACTAACAACTAAGTGCAATAATTTTTTTGAATATAATTATTTCACTTATTTGCAGCAGCTTGACGGTTATTTACTTCAAATCTAAGTTGTTGATTCGACAATTCAGTGCACCCTCATCAATCCATCGATCCACAAGCCAGCAACTATATATAGATATATGGCGGTTGTTGCCTTGAGCCAAAACTTCACAAAAGTTTAATCAACTCGTATTTGGCTAACGGGTAGGCAACAGCAACAACAATAAGAATAAAACCAGCAAACACCCGCATATTTAGACTAAAGATTGGTATTTCTATTTCTTCTTCTACCTATTTTTTTGCATGTGAACTGAACTTGTGAATTCTCTGGGTTTGTTTTCAGTTTGAATTTGAGTTTTGCTTACCTTATGGACTAACAATATTAAAATTAAAGCAATTATGTTGCAGGCAGACTTTAATGATCGACAATCGTCGATCAGCGATCGCAGCCGTTGTCGTTGCCTTTGCCTCGTTGCAGACATTCTCAGGCTGCCTGTTGTTGTTGTTGTTGTTGCTGTCGCTGTTGTTGCTGTCGTTGTTTCTGTTGCTGTTGCTGTTGATTTTCGGCGAAAATGTTTTCTAAACATTTTGTACATTCTGTGCGCGTTTTTCAACGTGTTTGCTGTAGACGATGCTGGTCGGCAGGTTTAGTTCCTGCTGCTGGCAATTGTTGTTGCTGTTGTTCCTATTGCTGTAGTTGTAGTGGTTGTTGTTGTTGTTGTTGATTTACCCACAACTTTTTGGCACAAGTAACGCACACAAAGTGGCCATTAATTAGCCCATGCTCAATTAACTATTTGTTTTATTTTACTTGTTTTGTCAGGGCATTTTTTTTTTGTTGTTGTTGATTGTTGTTTTTGTTGTTGCTGTTGTTTTGTTATTAATGTTGTTGCCACGCACTTTTATTATTGCTTATTACAGTTGCTATTATTGTTGTGCTTTGTATATGTACTTTTTTTTTGTATTATTTATTTCTCATTCGTTTTACACTTCCACTTGATACGCCGTTGTTGCTGTTGTTGTTGCTGTTATTGATATTGCTGTGGGGTATTATTGTTATTGTAGTTGTTGTTTAAGCAATTGTCAAACAAAATGGAATCGAAACACACTGAGACAAGTGTGTGTAAAATCCATTTCTCATTGCCTTTAAGCACGCATCATCAACGCTAATTGACACGCATTTGTTACTGTTGCTGCTGCTACTGCTTCTGCTGTTGTTGCTGCAACAAGTGCCTGCAGTCGACCGCAGTAACAACCGCAAAGCGGCGCAACGTGCTGCAAATGCAAATGCAATTCAATTTATGTTAATTTAACGCTGCTGCTGATGCTGCCGCATCTGTTGCAGTAGCAAGTTGCTTCTGCTGCTGCTTCTGTTGCTGCCGTGTCTTTGGCCACAAGCAATTTGCATCTTGTGCGCATATTAATTTACAGATATTTTCGCTCTTGCCCACATTATTCATGCTACCTAACCCTTTCCCTTCCCTCCTCTTCCTGCAATTTACTCTACATTTGTCGTGGCTGTCTTAAATAGACCTTTGCCATTTTCCTTATGTTATTTGCGGCTTATTTTGTTGATCGGGTGTTAATTGTCCATTTAATTAAGTAATTTGCTTCGCTTCCTCTATCTCTGCCCTCCCTCACTCCCACCACTCTCAACGGAAGTCGTTGCCTTTGAGTCAAATTTGTGCATATATTTATATATGCTTGGTTGCTGCAGCAAACTGTGGCAAACTGTCTGCGTGTGTGTGTGAGAGAGCGGTTACAGGCACAACCGGAAGTGGACCAAAGGGTGCACTTGACAATTGGCGCAATTGAAGTTGCAATGAGAAATGAGAAATGAGAGGGAAATGTAATATGACAGCTGAAACATTTCATATTATTTCAACTATGAGCATGCCAATTAGTGGAACTTTAACACCTTGGGCGACTTTTGGCATAATAAAAAAAACAAAATTATATTTATTTTTACTAAGCTCGAATTTCACACTAAAATGTATGTTCTTGCTGGCAAAAAGTTTGCCGCTTGATTCAAATAATATTAAAATATTTTTTACTCATTGATTCTACTAAAATGGAATTTAAAAAATAAAATTGTATATAAAAGAAAAAGAAAAAAACTATAACGAAACAAAACTAAAAACCAAACTGATCATTTTTCCACCCAATAGATGTAACTATATTCTCTGACTCATTATTCTATATTCTAATTTGTGGCAGCATCCATCAGCTGATTGCCGCAGCAAATGTCGCTGCGTGCTTTGTTATCAGATCATTTTCCAAGCAGAGCCTGGCAAAGCATTTAGTATTTAATTAAGTATAAAAAGCTCTCGCGCTCTTTCTCCTGCAGTTCTCTCTATCTCTCTCAGTATGCTTGTTGTGTGCTACTCGAAGTATATGTAAGCATTGCCCTCGATCTCTGTTCCTCTCTCTCAAGCCATTATCACTGAATTGCTGTTGTTGTTGTTATCTTGCATTATGCGCTATTTAAACAAATACATATGTATTTATTGTGCTGCTATTTGCTTTGCTTTCTTTCACTCGATGTGTGTTTCAATTCCATTTCGTTTTGTTGTTTTCTTGTGCGTGTGTGTGTGTGTGTGTGGGTGAGTCTGCGTTATCAATGAAACCGCACTGGACTATTGTGGATTCTCTCTCTATGTGTGTGTGTGTGTGTATGTTTGTATGCGTGTATTTTGTGGCACAAGATTCACAATCGCATTCACATTCACATTCACATTCGCATTCGCATTGTTTGCACTTTTACTTTAGGGCTTTTATTAACAAATTTATTGTACTATGTGGTCGGAGTGTGTATATTTATATATATATAGATGTGTGTATATGTATGTGTGTACGAGTAATTGAGCGCTATTTCCGTTATTTTGCATCACACGCATTGCCGCATTGCTGGAGAGAATCTCACGCTGTGTCGAAGATTTTCGTAGATTTTCGAAGCATTTTTGATTTATGTTAAGTTAAATCGACAGATGAAAAAAAACGAACAAATAAATAATCATATAAATTACACATTCACATTATGAGCAGCTGTCGATTGTGTTGTTGTTGTTGCTGTTGTTGTAGTATTTTTTGTTGCTATTGTTATTATGATGATTACTTATTGGGCTTTCTGCTTTGCCATCATTTGTTGTAATCAGCAAGCAATTCAATTTAATTGTAACACATTTAACACTTTCACATCCCAATCACATTTTCATTGATTATCATAATTATTGTTGTTGTTTGTATTTACACACACACACACACACACACACACTCACATACACACACACTCTCAGACACTGATATCGCACATAATCCAATTGGCATTTTAACCGTTTACCGTTTTGCTCATCACTGCTCGAAGCACAGCATTCGACTAAGCACCGCGTGTTGCCCACATTAAAATCGAGTCCTGCGGCGCTTTTTACCCTGCAGCCTGCCACCACCACGACCACCGCATGGGGCGGAGCAACTTACGCGACAGATTGAGTGAGAGAGCGCGAGAGTGCGAGAGAGAGAGAGCGAGAACGAGTCACTCCGAACCGGCAACAGTTCGAGTTCGAATTCGAATATCGTGATCGTCGTAAGGCTTCCGCTTGCTGCTTGCGTGCGCTTCAGGCGTCAAGTTGCGACTGATTGGGAACTACCGATTCGACTGGGCATTGCCGCTGGGCACATTCACTCGCGTCTCTCTCACTAATGCTCGCTCTTAGCATTTTGAACCGGTTTCACACGGTGGCGCGCTCACTCTCTGTCTCTCTTCACATGGGCACTCTTTAGCCAGACGCTGATTGGTCGATCGCCTGCAGCCTACGACTTGTTGTTAATGGAGTTGCCCCGGTCCGAAGTGCCGTTCGTTCGACTGCTGTCGGCTGTCGGCAGTCGGGCCGATCGGCTGCAGTTGCTGCGGCTGCTGCCTACACAAGACGCATGCGTGTGTTTGTCTTGAGGCGCTTTTTTATGATTTCAACTTAATTATGTTTATAAGCGCTTCAGCTTCTTCTTGCTGTTGTTGTTGTTGCTGCTCTAGATCTAGTTAAAATGCCGCAGCAGACGCGTCTGCAATTGCGTCGTTCAGGCGTTTCATTAGCGTTTTATGGCCAGATCGTGGCCAGCGCGCGCCTTGTTGACAACAACAACAACAGCAACAGTAGCAATGGTTGCATTGCTGCAGGCGCATAGTTAACACCTGAAATTACATATGGGGCAAAAGAGAGAGAGGAAGAGAGAGAGGGAGAGGGAGAGAGAGAGAGAGAGAGAGAGAGAGCGGGAGAGAGCGGGAGAGAGCTTTCCACAATCAAATATGATTTGTTTATTTTTCAGCTGCCCAATTCGGACAGCCAATTATTACCATTGCTGCTGCTGCCACACACACACACACACAGAGGCACTGCTGCCTTTTTGCCCAATTATATGTAATGTGAGTGTGTATAAATCAAATTTGAATGCAGTACTCTTTGCCTATCGATGTCCGCAAAACAAAAGACTTAAGCAACAAACTTGGCAATTACATGCCAGCCAACAGGCACAACAACGCGGCAGCATCTTTGTGCTGTTATTGCTATTGTTGTTGTTGCTGTGTGTTGTTAGCGGCTCATATTTCTTAGCGCGCATATCTAAATATCGAATCATGTCGCTGATTTGCTGTGCAGCACCATTGTTGCTTCAACTATAGCTGCAACAACTACCAACAACAACAACACACACTAAATCTCATTGTGCCGTTGTGACATGACTCTTGTTCGACAATAGATAAAACAAATTGACTTGGTGTGTGCCCAAAATGTCTTCTCTAGCCATACGATTCACCAAGTTGTAAGTTCCTAACTTGCCAGTTGACACACTCGAAGAATTGCTACTCAAATCCAGTTAATAATCGTTGTACAAGTTTTGGGCTAGTGAAAAGTTTAAGAAATATATTTTTTTATTCCAAAAATTTGTAAATCTTAGTTAGATTATTAATGTATTAATGTTAGTAAAGTTGAATTCTTAAAACATTCTCAAATATTTTTGTTTCTTATTTTAGCTACGCAATTAATTATATAAATGCTGATATAAAGAAATATTATTTATTATATACTGGTATAAAGAAACATATTATATTTGAAATTGAAAAACAACACGACTGTACCAGTCTTTTCGCTGAGTGTAGTTTGCCGCTTCTGCGGTGGGCGTATGAACAACTTGAAACGCTGGCAGCCGCTGCAGCATTGGTTCCTTTTGTCATCTTTGGCAGTGAGAAAACTGCACCACAATGCCCATTATCAACAGCATATCTACGAAATCCCAGAGCGACAATTGTACAAGCAACAACCAACAAACAACAACAATAACAAAGTGAGAAGAAGAAAAAAACGGGCTGTCCAAATATGTTGCAAGTTGGTGTTATTCTTCACACGGCATCATAAATTTCACGTATAATTGACGCTTTCAGTTATATCAAAATTGGCTAAAAGGCGACGACCAACAACAGCAACAACAACGGCCACTTTTGCGTTGGTGGCTCTCGTTGTGACCACAGACTCCAGGGATTACTTTTGCACCGAGTTGTGTGATTGTTGTTGTTAGTGTTGTTCTCTTGTAGCTGTTGCTGTTTGCTGACTGTGGCTTACATTGTGTTTTGGCTTACAGCTAATAATAGCCAGTTGGACGTACTGAGTCAGTGAGTGAGTCAGTCAACAACTACTTGGTGTCTACAGGTGTCTTTGGGGCCAATTTTCTTTTTATTTTGCGTTGGACGCGCTTTAATGGCATTTCTTTGTTGAAATTAGCTTTCATTTTTGTTTTTCTACTTTACATATTTTGTTTACTTCTTTGTGACCACATG